AAAATACTTTAAGGGCATGTAGGGAAGAATTTGCTCCCCTGTCAGTTTGTTTCAAAGCATTTCTGCAAAGTGTGAGTGACAGGATGAATCTCAGCAAAGGTCTTCATACCAGTTCAAAGCCAACAGCTTTGGATGACATGGTATACTTTGAGCTGTCTGCCCCACAGCTCCCCGGGTGGGTCGGGCTTTCTGCCGACGCCGCATTAATTTGTTTATCGTCAGCAATGTAGCTGCTGATATTTCTTTGCTCTTTCATTTTGTTTCACAATAACAAAATGATTACTTTGAAGAAGGACAAATATAGAGGGGAAATTCTTTTTTTGGACCGGTTTTGAAGAATAAAGCGTTGTCCTCCACTGCTGGCCGATTGCTGCAGCGCCGTCAGTCACTGCATCAGCCCTTGAGTACATGTTTTGCTGTGCGTGTAGTTGTAAGAGGATCTGAGAGCGCCCGCCAGCTTTCTGTTAGTAAACCCGTACAGGATTGAGTTACTCTCTGTCTCACTGGCTTAAATGACCCTGGACTAGTCTTCATTCACACCCCACATTTTCCTCTTCTCTTTCACGAGCAGCTCAACTGCAGCTCAAAACACCCGGATGGTTTTGGGCAAATGTTATTGTATTGGAAAAGTTGATTGGAGAATCTCAAATAACTTCAAAAAACATAATGTACCCAACCCCGTAGGCACAGCAGAGGACATCTATAGCTGTACTTTTTTTTTTTTTTTAGTTAATTTGAATTTATTAATGGAAACAGTTCAACAATAAGATAAGTGAGTTTTTTTTACAGTACATTCATGAATGTATATGTACATATATATGGGCAGGATGAGAAAAAATGATTAGAAACAGTGATATCCACCTACTTTTTAAAAAGATCTTGCGATTACTCAGTCTTTCACCCCACCGGCTATATTTATTCAAATTTAAGTTATTTTGAGTATATTTTTTTACTTTAGTCTTTTGTATATTTAATGTTGGCCCAGAATTTCTCCAGGCTTTTGTGCTAACTACAGTAGTCAGAACAAACTCCCTGACCCTCACAAACCTCCACTTAATATTCAGATTTATGAAAAAGACAAAAAGCCTTGCATTGTGTGCAATGTTCCCCCCCCTCCCTCCCCACCACCGCCCAGACCAACCCTCCTACTACTCCTACCCCCCCCCCCCCGGTTGTTCTCCACTGACACCATGGCCTCAATACCAAAGCTCATTGGCAGGGAATGTTGTGTGGTAGTCGTCTGCATTAGGATTTGTGTGTGTGTGTGTGTGTGTGTGTTTGTGCTTTTGTTAATCTAAGGGATTTGCATCATGCGCCTTTTGCTGTTTGCAAAACCAGCCTAATGGAGCGGATACAATAACATGGTAAAGAAAATAGAAAATGTGCTTATTTAAAAAGTTCAGTGTGTTTTGATACACTATTTAGTATTTAAGAACTGCATTCCCAGCAATCCTGCACGAATTAATTATTACATTACTGTAATGAAAAAAGGCAATACGATTGAGTAAAAATGTAAGCATTAATCGATTTAACTTTAAGAGTATTTTTTTATAGTAATAATTTACTAGTTCCAGCTCAGAATCATAAGTATTTGCTGGTAATCTCAGTTATCGTTGAGAATGAATTAACTTTTTTTTCGGCAGCCGATTATCAGAAAAAACGAACCGTCTGAGATTTGTCCTAAATCCTGACACGTTTAAATGTTGAGTTTTTTGTGATCTTGCGTAATCTCGGATGGCGAGTTGTTCCTGTATCATAAAATGTCCTCCTCTGCACGGACCTCCAGTTGCATCAGAGAGAAACAAACCCTAATTGGAGCGAATGGATTGGACCTTGCATGAAATTGCCATGGGAGGCCCATTGTTGACTGTGTGCCCCTCCGCCTGCTGCACCCCAGAAGCCGGCTGTGAGGGGTCAGGAATTCGACTCAGGTGCAGAGCAATAAGGCACAGAAGGTTCTTTGCAGGTTTGAAATCCTTTACTAGAAAAATAAACTAATGCAAGACAAAAGGGTGCACAGGCGAAGGCGGAATCCACACGCTCTTGAAGAAACAAAAAAAGGAAGAGAGCCTGGCAACGAAGTAAAAAAACAAGTTTACCAAAAACAGCACTGGGGACTTCTAACTACAAACATACACCTCTAGGAAACACAAAAGATAACCTGACACAGACAAGTGGGGAACTGAGGCTTAAATACAGGTGGGGGTGATTGCAAACTAAACTCAGCTGTGGGGGGAAACTAGATACAGGAAGTGCCGTGGTTACAAAAATAAAACAGGAAGTTAATCTTCACCGTCTCTTCGAGTCGTCACACCGGCCTGTTGACTTCACACTGTGCTCCCCCAACTATGAAGCCCGGGGGGGGAGAAAGGGAGCCTGGGAGTATTCCTGGAAACGGACGCATGGCTGCCTGCCTCCGGTAGTGACAGGAAAAAAAGATCGCTGGCACATTTATTGAACCGTTAATGTTTGCTTCTGAGGGAGCCCCCGTATTAGTGTTAATGCACCGTGTGTGTGTGAAAGAGAGTGACTTGTTGGAAGGAGGTGCTGTGTATGTTTGGCTCAGCCGTGCTAGTTTTACCCCATTAGGGAGTTGTTGTTTGTATGCCTTTCCATAACCGTAACAGCACCGGAAAATTGCGGAGTCATTGTGGGATTACTGTCTAGTTTAACAGGGTTGTACAAATGATTTATGCCACACCTCCTTCCTCCTCCTCTTCTTCTGGTGGATTCCATGTGGCAGATGGTGCACATTGAAACCGGTAGTTATAGCTGAACAGCTCATCTCTGGTAAGGTTACACTTGTGACCCCCCCGAGTTGCCTTTTCTCATCCAAACACACAAGAATACACAAAATGCAAACATCAGATGGCACCAGAATAAGAGGTTCTTCACACTGCCTTAGTAAATTGTCACATAATAAGGATGCAATCGAGCAAATCTGTCATTGTAAGGTATAAAGCAGAAAAAGATTTAAAGTGAATGAATATACTTTACCTCCTTAGTTTAATGTTCCTCACCATGCGTGCCTCTAGATTTGCATGTTTGTATCTGCACTGCACGGTCTGAAAGTTTTAACCTGTTTATAACATTCGGTTTGTTATGCTGATGAGAGGAAAAAAACAGATTTTGTCATCTCCACCTATATGCATTTATTTGGTCTTATTTATGAAGTATTTAACGTTTGTCTCCTCTAAATAACCGTATTACTTTTTCAAGCTGATATAAGGCAAACAAACAAGGAACGACCCCATCGTTTTTCAGTCGGGGGGTCTTACAAGATCAGGAACGTCGTTTTACTCACAAATTTGGTCTAAAGTAAGGACTTGTCGTGAATTGGGTCGACACATTTTTATGTGGATCCACAAAAAGAAACAGTTTGGGAAATACTGCTCTGAGCTGTTGGTGGTAAAACATGCCAAACACACACAACATCTCTCACAGCTTTTCATTTGTATTATTGTCATCTACCAATTATTGTTTTCACCAAAAATATCCATTTTTGCAATAGAACTTGAAGTTCTCAACTGTGTCATTGTGGTAGGGTGCAGCCCTTTTCCTCCTCTCGTTCTTGTGATGCCTTCTTGCACTCACTGCCTGCAACAGGTGTGATGGGGGTAAAGGTGGAGGCCTCCTTCAAGAGAACAGACTGACATTCACCTCTGTGTGGGTGTGTGATCTTACATCTGGAGTTATTCTTTGCCATATTTCTACACTTTCCTACTATAGCACAACTATAGCATCAGCTCGCCTGGCACACAGAAACAGGGACGCTTATTGGAAGGAAATCCTATATCATACACCACAAATCACATTTTTTACGGTACATTAAGTGAAAGTTATTTTGACTACTGCAGCCTTAACGGCTAAAAATAATCTCTCATCACTGTTAGGTAACATGGAGAAAAAAACAACATGAATCAGAGCCAAAAGCTCTTCTCCCCGTGGTCATTTGGTGGAGCTGCCAGCCTGGCTTTACTCAGTCGGCCAACAACGGCGTACGGCAAACACACGTACACTCTCACACACGTACACGCACACACTCTTTCTGGTTCAGGGGTGTTGGAATCTGGCAGGCGGCTCATAATGTCTAAATGTCACATCTTTATGCATGAATGCACTTTATTTATGCACTTGGGCTTGGATACACTAGCACATTTGCAAATATACAGATACAAGGACGCACAGCCACACACACACACACACTCGCACACACAACGCTTATAGAGAGGTAGCAGCTGTCTTATGCATGCATCCACTAACAAGCTGACATTCAAATCAGACGCTCAAGTCCTTGATCTGTATCCCAGGCCAGTTTGGCCTCAGTTAAAACGGACTAATACTGTCAAAGCTGCTTTTTAATATATTTTTTTATCCCTGTTTTTGATGATCAAGAGCAACTGGATTTTTAGGATTCCAGGTAGAATTGCTGTCTGTCTGTTCCATTTGAAAGGGAGTAGGAGTATAATAAGTGTCCTTGCTCATTGTCCTGGAAGCTGCTTAGAGATAGTCTACAACACGAAACACAAGGATTTTTAGATTTGTGTATTTTCAAGTGGCACATTCAGTCCAAATTGTCACTTAACATTTGGCTTTCGGGATCTCTAGCTCTGGTTTTGTCAGAATATTTGGTGTTTTTTCAGACACATTTAAATGCCTAACTCTTTTCTGGCTGTATTTAAGGCTTTGTGGTCAAATGTGGTCATTTCAAAGTAAAACTCAAAGCTGTTAAAAGTTACTGCCGCGTCTCGACAGTTGGACCTTTTCGGAGCAATTAGGGCTCATTTATAAGATGCTCAAACTGTGACTAAACCACTGCCGATGGATTTGGCCCTTTAATGTTTGGCTGCACAGACAAATGGGCTCTGGGGGGATTTTGCCTGCTCATTAACTTCTCACATGTTCATTTGAATCTGGTGCTTATTTGATTCAATGCACGTAATCGATAGATTATTTCAGTCTATTCTATTCACATGGTCCGTGTTTGTGTCTATTCGCAGTATGACCCTGATAGTTCGGGCTTCATCAGTACGGAGCGGTTCAGGGACCTGCTGGCGACCTACGGCTCCGAGCTCGACCCCCACAAACTAGAAGTCCTGTTGGCCCTCGCCGACGGCAACGCCGACGGGAAGATCTGCTACCAAGACTTTGTCAACCTGGTGAGATGTTTCATCCTTTCTGGGCTCGCTGATATCCGTCTCCAGTGAAACTCAATCGTTTGTTGGCGCCTCTGTCCTTAATTCATTTTAATTTAAATGTTTTTGCATGCTGTGGTTTTCATAGTCAACTGATATATGTACCTCCCATTATCATAAAACACTTGATCGTTTTGCCTCTAAATGTTTGCATGTAATAAATACAAACTTTAACTTTAAGAGGCATGCATTATTGCTGTCAGTTTTGTTCATTTCCACGTCTAAAAGCCGTATATCAGCTCAGCAGGTAAGTGGCGAGTCTTCCTCATAGGAAACAATTTTGAGTCTGGCAATAAATTCTCCTCTCAGCGCTCACCTTGCTCCACTTTCAGTTTCACCTTCTAACTGGAGCCGGCTGCCGTTTTTTCCACTGGCTCACTCACGCATCTCCAGCAGTGCTGCTGCCTCATAACCTTCTAATTTTCTGTTCTCCACCGTCTCGCTGCTGCTCCTCGTGGGAGGCCGAGCTGCTGACCCGGGAGTGGAGTGGGATCGCAGTGGGAGTGGCAACAGATTACCACTCCCACCGGGTGGCCGTGAGGGGTCCTCGCGTTGTTAGAGAGCATAGGGAGTTTGTTCATCTCCCCGTCTCTCTCTTGCTCCTCAGAGCGGCGTATTGTCTGATACAGTGAGAGAGGGAGGAGCACTGTAGGAAGCTTGGAAACATGTCAATGGAGGCTTTCTGCTGTAGGTTTCCTACTGGTGCATTCATGCCCTGTGACCGGCTGTGGGTCATGCAGCTGAAGTTGGGACGGAGAGGAATGGGGTGCCGGCATCTGTGTGTTCTATTGTGTTGACCCCCTCACTGGTTCATGTATTCACAGAAGGCAGCCGCAAAGGGGGTAAACACAAGGGAGGGGGAGTAGGGTGACGTATTCATGATTATTCTTATTAAATTACGCTGTGCAATGAATGGGGAAGAGCGGTTACAGTTTTTAGTTTTAGTTTGTAGTTAATCAATTATCAGGCAAAAATATGCAATATTTATTTATGTTCCAGTTACTCACATGTGACGATTAGTTGCTCTTTTTTTGATTTTTCAAATCATTGTAAAGAATATTTGGGATGCTGAGCAATGGAACATTTGAAACATTTAATGACAACAGAATGGCTTTAAATAATGTACTGAGAGGTGAAATAATTCAGAAAGTCAGTGTACGGCTGCTTTGATCATTTGTGAATAGGTGAAGCTGTCAGTAACCACGACTTTCTGGTTTCAGCCTCTAAAATCTGAGGACACATGTGAATTCTCTTTTTTTTACATCATCAAATGTTTTCGGGTTTCAGGCTAAATGTTCTACAATGTGAACCAACACTGGTGTGACGAGCTTCTACGTGTGAGCAGAATAGCTCAAGGAATGTAGGGTATGTAAACACAAAATACGGACCTTCTAAGGGACACGCGTTAATGGTCTCTAAGGATCAAAGGAGTCGAAGGCAATTTAGGAGCTTCAGAGAGAGTTATAATTCTTCCAGCACGCTCATTGTCACTGCCTGTTTTTTCTGCACGTGCATCTCTAAGGAAGGAAGGAAGGAAGGGGAATAGAAGCGGAGAAGGAGTCGAGGACAGACGGAGACAACCTGTGAGGGCTTTGTTTGTTGCCGTCTCCCCTTAGCAGCGTGGCTCTTCCATCAATGCGATAGTCAGTAATTGCCTGCTGGCTGCTTCGTCACAGTCAGCGTTCATATCACGGCTCACTCCCTCTCCTTACCTTCTTCCTGGGCTCTTTCTTCTTTCTGGCTCTCTGTCATGCAGAATGCATCGCGTCTGTTGTTGGTAGAAGCTGGCTCTGTTATGTATTAGGACAAACTCTGTATACTACACAGTATATACTTCCTTAAATATTAACAAACAGGTTGAATCACTCTGTTTTAGCCACAGTGGGATGAAGCTTACAGCTGCACTCATATATCCTGAGCATATGCCTCTTACAGGTGCATCACCCACCACGGCGGAACCCATTGTTACATTTTCGTGGTGTTTTTCCTTCCTTCTTTCCATTAATTAGTTCATTTCATGTGAATTTGACAAGAAAATACACTAATATCTAACAGGGTTGAATGATTAAGTGGCAGCATTTTAGACAGACAGATGTGGCTGTGGAGCAGAATCCAGCCCATTGTACCGTTCAATAACCACACTTGAATCTCCACCACTCTCTGCCACTGTGAATGCAGCGCAGTGTGTGTTATTTATGAAGGGATTTTGACAAAGCTGGAGATTGTGCTGACACTGACCTTGAGCTGGTCGAATAGCATTACGCTAGTTGATGCTCTATGCTTAATTTCCAGCTATGGCAAAATCCCTACATTAATAAATCCTCTCCCTTCATGTATGCCACTATGGTATAATCATAATATCTGGGATCATTTTCTAGTGTCTATTAAAAAGGCTGTGTGTCTGTTAAACTGTCAAAAGATTTGAAAGAGAAAAAATACGATCTGATAGTAAAAAAAGATTTGAAACAGAAAAGCCCTGACTTAGCTGTGGTTCTTTTGTAGTTGTCAATTTTGTGGCGTTTTGTTTCCTTGTAGTCGGCATTTTGTTTGTCTTTGCAGTTTTTTTGTGCCTCTTTGTGATGATTCTGTGTCACATTGTGGTTTTTCGGAGTCCCTTCATTATCCCCATGCAGGCCAAGGGGGACCTGTCACTTGTGCCCTTTGAGCCTGTTCAGTTGTTCATGCGTTTGTAGATAGTGGTTGATGCATGCAGAAGCAGGTGTTATTTCACTGTATGCTGAGTACATTTTCACCCCTTGCTTTATTTTCATTATCTCAGCCTCTAAATGTCAAGGACACTCTTTCTGAGCTGTGTGTGTGTGTGTGTGTGTCAAAATGTGACACACGTGCTCTCAAAAAAGCCAGACTAAATCAAATAGATGGCAACCCTCTTGAAATGGGAGCAGAATATTAATTTTGTCAGGTTTGAAAAAAAAAACTATTACCGACTGGTGTGATCTTTTGTGAATGATGATAAAAAATGAACCTATATACACACGTTTGGAGTAAACTATTCAAAGAAGAGCGGGACAAAGACAGGGGTTTGGTGGTTGCTAGGTGATGCTACTGGCCTTTTGTTGCCATGGCGAGGGGGAAAGGGCCCATCCTGGTGCTGGAGTAATGAGTGTGTGGGTGTGTAGCCTCTATGCAGAACGCGTTGAGAATCTATTTGTACATATATTTAATGGAGTACCTTTTAAAGTTCACATGTCTAATAAAACTGGATGATTGTCCCCTCCGCCTTCTTTCTCCCTGTCTGGCTCTCCTCCTCTGCCTCCTCTGTCTCCCAAACCGGCCTCCGCATTTCTCCAGATGAGCAACAAGCGCTCCAACAGTTTCCGAAGGGCCATCCTGCAGGGGGGCCGGCAGCTGAAGGGCTGCAGTCTCAGGGACGAGGCGGGTTTGGGGCTGTCCCAACGGCTGATCCGACACGTCGCCTACGAGACGCTGCCCCGCGAGGTTGACCGCAAGTGGTACTTTGACAGCTACACCTACTGTCCCCCACCCTGGCTCATCCTGGCTATTACTATTGCTGAGGTAATTGGTCTGTGGAGGATGAGCCTAAACTGTGTTGTAAAGCGCGTCTGCTTAAAGGTTAAAGGCTGCAGAGCTTTTGAGTATCAACTGCCTGCAAGCCACACAACGCAAAAGCATATTCTTTAAATGTACTTTTCCCGATTATTGTGAGTGTAGATGATGATATGACCTGTTTGTTTCCCACTATTTCATCGTGCTTATTGTGGCGCGTGTATTGATTCCACTCCCCCCGAAATCACACTAGCTGTGTTTACTCGTCTGTGTTCTCCCAGGTGGCCGTGTTCATGTACTACGGCTTCCAGCTGGACCGCTTGGTCCTGCAGGTATCCAGCCCGTCTTTCCTGAAGAGCCCCTTGCCTTACCACCCACAGCTACGCACACAGGCCTGGAGATACCTCAGCTACATATTCATGCACACTGGGTGAGTGTTTCTACAATGTTTCAAGGGTCGTGTGTGTGACACTGTTGAAGGACGGAATGTCTTATTGAAGGCCCAATCCAAACTAGAGGTACTGCATATCTATGAGTGACGTTTGAAAGACTCTGTGAGCCAGAGCCCGTTAACGATTTAATAAACAAAACTACACAGTGCAATTAATTTGCAGGGACACACTCAATTGAATCACTGAGTGCAATGAAATCCTTTTCAGTCATGAGGGAAAGAAACAAACAAGGAAGATACGTGAGATCGCTACAGCTGCTAATGAGGCTGCTAATGAGTCTTTGGATGTATTTTCTAAAACTCAATGAAAGATGTTACAGAACAAATCAGCAAGTAGAGGAGTCCTAACATAGTCCTACCGAGGACTGTTTGATTTTCAGTTGAGCGCAGGGTGTCCAAACTTAATTAACCTTGCGGGTAAATGTAGTGTCAGGCAACAGTGAGAACTAATAAAATGGTAATTTAATTAGGAGAACCTGGAGGTGCCACAGACAGATGGCGGGGAGGACAGTGTGTGGATAAAAGAGTACGAATGAATGGAAGGTTGAAAAGAAGGAAAGTGGGATGTTTAACGTTCACCAATTACACAAAAGCACATTGAAAAGATTTTGGTCCTCAGGGGATTTGGTTGGGAAAAAAAGGAAATTATCTTTCGTCCACCAATGTGTCCAATTTTAATGGCAATGGTTTATTTATTTTTTGACAGTTTCAACTCTCTCTTTCTCTCTCTCCCTCTTGTGCACGTAATGATCCTGTCAGCTCATTCAAACTGATCCTTCCCAATTTGCCACACTGAAACAGAGCGTAAATATTGGCCTCAAAACACCTCCCAGAAAAGGATTATGCATACTCTCCCTCTCACCCTTTTCAATTTTAATGTATCTACCTTTTTTTCACAATGGGTCCACAGTGCTTTGGGAAAACTTCAGGAAGCTGATCTTCCTGTCAGAGCAAAGAGATGTTACAGGAGAGTAAAGTACTCCTGTTGCGTTTGTCCGGCTTCTGTCCACCTCTCTAAAGAAAAGTGTGGCTTACGCTAATGAGTGAAACTGTTGCAGTACAACCGCATCGTAACCTCTAAAGTAGCTTGATGTATCTGAGACGTAAAAATAAATTTCGCCAGTCAAGCCTTTTGTTGAGCACCCTGAAAGACGTGGAGACAGCAGGACCTCTCATGGGTGTCCACAGATGTGCATGTCGGTGCGGCCCTGCAACCTCACAGCCTCGTTGGCCGCATGGAAATAAACAAGTTGTCCTCGGGCACTTGAACTGGCCTCTCCAAGCCAATCTGGATCCAACATTGTCTCCGTGACCACTGCAACAATCCTCTCTGTCGGCGTTGTAACCGAGACGTCTCGGTCGCTTCAAACTAAATGCATTGTCTTCCTTGCTTGGTTTTGGTTGTCTGTGTTTGGAGGCTCGTGTTCGTTTCTGGGATTTAGAAGCTGTTTGCTGAGCAAACGCACGGACATACAAACTGTTTGTCGTCTAACTGTGGAATCGGAGGAGAGGGGGGTGGGGGGGGGGTGATGTTTTTTGTCCTGTCATCCTCTTTTCGCATCGTGGAAGGGGAATTCAGACGGAGACGGAAAACAGAGGAGGGGAGTGTTTGAAGTGAGAGAGAGACAATGATGACGATGAGAGAGAGAAGGAAGGAAGGAGTTGGTGAACATTGGTGTGTTTCATTTACAGTGTCAACTGAAACAGTAAATACAGCTTCAATCCATCACCAAACGTGATGCAAGCAATTTCATATTTCTTCATACTCAATAGCTGCACAGAAACATTGATTCTTCCCAGTTTTCAAAACCAAAGTAACCAAACGGTTAACGTGCTGACCTGCCCACCATCTCTTTCCTTACATTGTTAAAAGTAAAAAAAGCAACTACTACTATCTGGCATCTACAAATACAGCCAGATAACACCTGTTGTCTGCAACGATCACCTGAAAATGAAGCAGCAAGGATTGTGATTACCGATGGTTCACTGGATGTGTGTGTTTCACAGGATTGAACACCTGAGCCTGAACATGGCCATGCAGCTGCTGGTGGGAGTCCCTCTAGAAATGGTCCACGGAGCCCTGCGGATCGGACTGGTCTACATGTGTGGTGTGCTGGCAGGTGAACATCTGGACCCACACACACACACACACATGCAACAATGACGAATCTCAGTCCTTCTCCACTCCCTGCAGACATTTCCCTCCCTCTCATCTAAACACTCTCTCTTCCCCCGAGACAAACCCAATCACACATCATGGAGTTTTCCCTTTCAACTCCACCGTTGTTCCATCTGCCTGTTGCATGTTTTTTCATGCATCCAACGGCCTATCGGGTTGCAGCCGGTATGTTGGTGGATAATGGTCAATGAGAATATCTAGCGTATGTGTGTGTGTGGGATGTTTAGGACAGATGGCCTTGTGTTTCTGTTTCCATACCAGACGTGTTGGGATGCTGGGGGTTGTCAGGGTCCCGGCAAAGCCCCCGCATCCCCCTACGGCCATGTACAATAGGGCAGAGCAGAGAGAGTCCTCTCAAATGGAGCTCGGTCGGAAGAACACAAAGTAATGAAATAGGAAGGGGAGTGGGTGAGGTAGGGGTGAAGAGAGAGCGAAAGAGAGAGAGAGAGAGAGGGGAGACGCAGGAGGGGATGATGAATACACAAGTGTTAATAAGCCTGAGAGGGTTTGGAGAGGGTGCACAGGATATGAGAAACATCGAGATGGGAGAAGAGTGGCTGAGATTTAGGAGGAGGCGAGCTAGCAACTAGAAAGTGAGTAAAAAAACAAAAAACTAAACAGAGAAGAACAAAATGTCACCGCTCACTTTCTTCCTCGCCGTCAACCTCAGCAGCTCAGGCAGCGTCCGTGTTCGGCTGAGACTGGACGTTGCTATGTGCGTGTGCACGTGCGATCACGGGCTATGCTTTTCTCCACTGCATCGATAAAAGTCATCCGCTTTGTGACACTGTGTGGCTGTGAGTATGTGGTGTCTATACGCACTGCATATACATTTATGTTGCGTGTGTGACAAATAGCATGAAAAAGCTGAGCGGATTGTGAGAGATTTATTCCAGTCAGTGCAATTTTGTTTAATATTCATGGAAAGGATGTCTCTATTTCTCTCTGTCCATCTCTGAGTGTCCATCTGTAATTGTCTGTGTTTGTGTGTGTGTGTGTGTGTGTGCGCGCACGTGCAGGGGTCAGTGACAAACACCCTGGGGATACCAGCTGTGGTGGCCGGTAGGATTAACCTTGCACTGCAATGAGGAGGAAACGCAGCATAAATCAGACACACACAGACCAACACACACGTGTCTGCTGTTTTAATTAGATATTGACCGTCAGGGGAAGAGGACAGGCCCCATTTGGTTGTGTTTGGCTATAATAGGCTGGGTTTGTTGTGTCTGACCTGGCTTTTCTTCCAAACTCACAATTCAGCATCCAGGAACACGTTGGTGGATGTGAGAAGTTGATATTTGCTAATCATTGTATTTGTGGCTGCAGTTATATATGATCATTTTTCTAAAACAGGACAGGATAGGATAGATAAATGGGGGAAATAATGATTTAATTTCCCATGCCGTTCACTGTTCTTTTTATTTATTTCCTTTTTATTTTGAATCGCAAATATCTCACAAAACTCTGTTTGTGTTTGTGTGTCACTATGCATAGATTATTAGGCGAGCACATGAATGTTTAAGCATACCTCATTGTGTCTTCAGTTAACATGCACACAACGACTTTAAATATGTTCACACAATGAGATTGTGTGAACAACAAGCAATTGTGGAGAGAGAAAGACTCAGCTGGCACATAACCCACACAGCAGGGGTCAGGGCAGAGTTCAGAGGCCAAGTAATGACTCTGAGAGACGTCGATCGCCCTCTGGGGCCAACACAAACTCTGACACTTTAATGGAATCAATGGACTTGCATGCAAACAAACAAGTACTCACTTATAGACAGCAAAATAAATACAGGCCTGCCCGTACAAAGAACATTAGACGGATCAGCAACTGGCAGGAACAACAGCGGTAAAGAGAATGTGAAGTCAGACAAACTCAACCGCAAAAGACAAAAAATGACAATGAGACACCTTGTGTGTGTGTGTGTGTGTGTGTGTGTCTGTGTCACACCCAACCAGACTAATATAGTGTTATCAAACAGAGTTAATTACAGGGAAGGAGATCATCCTGCCAGCTACACTTCCCAGACACAGGAACCAGGTGTTTGAGTGTCTGGATGCCTGTATGTGTTTGTGTGTGTTTGAAGAGGATGGAAGCAACGTAGAGTGCTTTAAATTAGTGTAATTTTTGGATTTGTGTTATTTGTATATAATACTGTTCAACTTTAATATTGATGTTAATATATTGATGGCAGTGCAAAATATATTAAAGGTGGCAGTTTTTTTTCTAGACTTTTAAATATTATTATTTACTTTTTTGAGAAAAGGATTCTCACTTGAAGCCATCCTTCCTTTTAGAGAGAAGCAAACATGATATCGGCTAATAGCGGCATGTGTGGGTGTGTGTGGTCATTTAGCTGCTCGGTGTTCAATGACCTGGTGAGTCAGATGCTGTTATTACTCTCCCTCGCTGTGCTGCCATTATGGCTCACACCTGAGAGGGACACATAACAGGAGGAACTGAAGTCCTTTCATGTGCTCCTTTAAAATCACAGTGTTGGAAGCCAGCTCACTGATTTGGGACTCTTTCTTTATAAACAATTCCAGAGTCGTTCTGAAGGCTTATCAAACCCTAAGACATCTTTCTAAGGGGTCTTTGGATGAAATGTGTTCTTAATGGAACCCCATTTTCTCCCAAGGAACCTTTTCAAACAAAGGGTTCATCTGATGCAAAGAAGTCATCGCTTATCGCATCCTCCCTCCTTATGATGATTTGGAATCTGTGAACTCTGAGCGCGTCCTGTTCTCAAGGCCATGAGCTCCTTTTGGAACTTTGGTATCACTGCGCTATGGAACCAGGCCGTTGAATGAGAAGCTGTGTCCAGACTTTGACTGGTACTGTACATGTTGAGGTGGCTTGCTTATTGAAATCGTGTTCACTGACCCTGTGGCCCCCTTCACTGGCCCCTCGGTGCTGAAAGCTACTGATTTCGACGATAGTCGGTTCAATTTAAAGATATATTTGCACTATGTACCACACACCTATCCATCTAGAATGAGCTTTTAGTCATCCAACCTTTCTTGTTATATGGCAGCGAAGCTATATTTTTAGACTTAATGATAGAACATGGAACAAAAAACTGACTATTGAAGCAAACAACAAATGAGAGAGGTAGCAAATCTGCATGTATGTTAATTGTGATATACGTTATATAAATGCATGCATGCATTAATGCGTCAGGCAAGTAAAGCACATTTGTATTTGATAGAGAGTTAGAGAGCAGGAAGGTGGGAAGATTGTGGACGTGGGTGGATGTGGGCAGTCGTGTCTCATTAGCATCAGAAGTGTACACAAGTCAGTGCCATAAAAAGAAGAAAAGGAAAAGAAATGAGTTAAAGAACAATGGAGGGAGAAATAAAATAAAATTTGCAATTTTAATAGAAACACAAAGCACATCTCTGTCTCCAGCTGTGGTAAAAACATGTTTCCCTGGATGACTCTGAATGTACCCACATTTCAACTTTCGAATGCTTGATTGGATCTTTTGTGCATGCGATGAATTGGTACTAAGGCGCCAAGCAGAGCAATTCCCTGTTTTCGGCAGCTCAATTCGTACCAATGCATTTTGCCTTAGATACAATCTCAGTGTGTGCTTGTACCATATGAGCAAGCGTCTATTCAGCAAGGCGGACTTATGATACACCCACATTAAAAAGAGAGTAGAATCACGGCCTCTATGCCATTCAAAATAGATGTTTTCAGTCCACAAATGGCCACAGCTTGTTAAAAAAAACAGTTTAAATTACTCAGACAGCGTCTGCTAACACAAATAAGCTTTCTTCATGAAATGCTTGTATTGAAGACTGCAGCATTCAACACATTATAAAATAAAATACACCCTTTATCACTTTTGCATTATAGCATTAGACAATTTGCACATACATTCATCCACAAAAATGCAGACTGCCAGACAAATCAAATAAAGTTTAGTTAAATAAACATTCTGTCCTCCAATCCCATGAACTTGAATTTAATGTAATGTAATTTGAATGAAACAAAAACGTCCTGAGGTGGTAGTTACCTGCACACCTGTCCCCTTTATCATCCCTACAGGGTCTCTGGCGGTGTCTGTCACCGACATGACGGCCCCAGTGGTCGGCTCGTCCGGGGGAGTCTATGCTCTGGTCTCAGCACATTTGGCCAATGTGGTCATGGTGAGTTTTTTTGCGTGTTGTGTGTGGACGATTTTCACATCACTCAGTCCTCCTCCTCACTCCTGTCACTACAGAGCATCGCCGTCATCAAAGCATCAGCAGGTGCCGCTTTATCTGCAGATGCCATACATTCCTTACTGTCATCACACGTTTTCCTCCCGTTTTCCTATGAGTGTGTGTGCATGTGAAGACCTTCCTTTGCACTGCGCTCTGTTGACGTGTCTGCTCTGCTCTGTTCAAAACTCCCCCATCCCGGGGGTCATCACAGGCCCATTAGGCCGAGGCGCTCAAGGTGAAGCTCTGTTGTTTTGCAATAGGTGCCTCATAATTCACCCTGCGAGACACTCCACATCATTGTTGGCGTTGGGATGGAAGAGCCTGTCTCCCTCCTCTCAGCTGGAATCACATTATCTAACGCAGCAGGAACAGACTGGGGGTCAGAGTGTCTCCGGGGCTTTAAGAGATGACGCGAATCGGACGAGATCTCATGTCGTATCATGGCAGCATGTGTGTTTCTGAGGGGGAATTGACCTTCTAGCACAGTTTGTTTTGTCTTCATCATCCAAACTTAAAAAAATGACCTTCTGAATAACTCACATCCTCCCTTTTTCTCTCTTTCTGTAGAACTGGTCGGGAATGAAGTGTCAGTTTAAGTTATTCCGGATGGCCATGGCCCTGGTTTGCAGTAAGTCTCGGTTTAGATGCCACACGCCCCTTTCGCCTCATTTTAAGAATCATTTCCCACCCGAAATATGCACAATCTTTTTTGTATGTTTTTCTATCAGCAGACTTTGATCTCTGAGCAATGGTTTTCTTGTCTGAAATGAAACTTTGTGGCTTTTCAGTGTTCAGCAGTTACTTTTTATGTGACCCGAGTAAAATCACTTTGCTGTGTGGGATTCTACGCCCTTGCTTGCAGTGGATACATGTCTGTGAAGGGGAGAAGATTATTATTGTCGCTTCAAAGAGGCCTTTTTTTGTATGTTGCTGTGTCGCTCAGCTCCTCCAACAACAAGAGAAGGGTTGAAATAATAAAAAATACAGTAACCGTAAACTCCTATTTTTTGGTTACTGCCCCTCCACTGCAACTCAGCATGGAAACACGAACATGGACCATGTCTAACAATCTAATTTATTGACAGCTCAATGGCAAGTTTCTAGTTGTTGGCAGCAGAGTAAAACTCCTTTACAGATTGTTCACTACATCTGTCATTCCGTATGGAAACCTTGCTAACACGTGCCTTCTCTCCCTCTGTCGGCTCCTAGTGAGCGTAGAGTTCGGTCGGGCGGTGTGGCTGCGCTTCTACCCGCCGGCCTTTCCCCCATGTCCCAATCCCAGCTTCGTAGCTCACCTGGGAGGGGTGGTGGTCGGCCTGACGCTGGGTGTGGTGGTGCTGCAGAACTACGAGCAGCGGCTCCAGGAGCAGTCGCTGTTTTGGATCTTCTTCTCGGTCTACGCCTTGTTCGTGCTCTGCGCTGTCTTCTGGAACATCTTCGCCTACGGCCTGCTCGACGTGCGACTGCCCCCGACGCCTTGACCGGCTCGTCGGAGGCCGCCTACGGACCGCATTCCCTTTATTCTTGACCACCGGGCTGGATGAGGCAGCTCAGCCTCATGGCGCGGTCGTCGTACAGCCGCCCTCGTCCTACATCCACCTCTCTGACGCAGGGAGGCACCTGACAAGCAGCAGCCCTTCTCCTCACACCTTTCTCCGCCCATCCGACCCCTTTTGTGGTTAAGCCGTGCCGTCGTTTCTGCTCACAGTGCAGCCCGACCTTCGCTTGCTCTTTGTCTACTTCTCTGTTGCACATTTGTCTCCAGCGTATCAGTCTGTGGGACTTTTCTTGCCAACACAACAACGGATGAGAAGCCTCAGGTCGAACTCAACAGAAACCGGCTGGAGCAGCGCGGTCAACATAGTTTAACCTTCTCCGCCTCTCCCTCCCCAATCCAACGGTGCCTTCTCATGGAGATGTCAGGCTGGTAAAAGTATTTGTGCACAGTTGCCTCTCATGTGGGGTGACAGCCGTGAAACCCTGCGGTGCAATTGGTTTTCTGACAGAAGAGTTCCTGAAAATCCTGTAATCTGCCTGCAGCCTCTTCACCAATACATTAATGGTAAGGTCATATAAGAATCTAGGCTCAGATGGTGTTTTGTCATCATTACAAACAGCTCATAAGCATGAGAGATTTAGATTAAGCAGACTGCAGGATGGCTGAAGGTCTCTGCGTTTGCACAGAGATCATGGAGTATACAGGCTACAGCAACCTCTGAAAAACTAATTTATCTTTAAAGGAAGTGTGGGTTGATTCTCAGTGTTGCCTTCAGCAGTTGGCGCTTCCCCAAAAAGGATTCATTTGTTTTCAACCCTATTTGGACCTCAAACTTGTGTCTTTTTTTTGTGTGCAAGTGGTGTGAAAATTGTACTATTGTGCGAACAGATTAGTAAAAAAAAAAAGAGAAGAAGCAGAAGTGCCATTCAGACTTTTCCTAAGCTTTCTAAAATGATGCCAAAACATTGCTTCAAGCACTGAGGGGAAGAGCACATCCCACATCTTGTTCAGGCAAAACAAATCTTTGTCCGTCATGTGTAACATAAAATGTTGATGATCTGTAATGGATCTCTCACTGACACACTTTTTCTTATTTTGTTATCCCTTCTGGATATTTGCAGTGTTTTTTTGTGATTGGTTGACAATATCAAAGATGTTGAGAGGTAGTGAATTAAAGCGGGGTTACACATTCTACCTTAGCTTTTTTTTTCTTTCTCATAACCAAATAAGAAGAGCACACATGCCTGACCTCGACTACATCCTGGCTGGGGTCGTTTCACTCCCATATCAGGAGGCCATGGGGGGAAAGAGGTAAATCAATGCTCCCTCATTACCTCCTGTCACAAAATAAATTGTTAATTCATTGAACCGGGATGGGAAACGACCCCAGCACTAAGCTGTCAATCTCATACGGTGCTGTACTTTAACCTCATGTTACGCTGGTAACTGCTTCGCACAAACATTATTATAATGTAATTGTAAACAAATTAATATTTTATCATGCATCTGCTGTCAAGTTTGTTTCTTTACTTACATTTACTGTACGTTATGTGAAGTGTTTGGTCGGTCTGTATTGTGATGAGCTAGCTGTACTCTGTATGTGTCCTATTTAAAAGTTGGTTCAAAATGGTCCGGGCTTGTATATAATAAGCTTTATGACACAAAAATGAGTGTTGATAATATTTTAACATTATGCATATTTTGTAGATTTGATATGTACATACTGGAGTACATTAAACACTTTTATACTGAAACATAATGGGATTTTTTTTTGGATTCTGCTCATGACACACATGCATGCAAGCACACACACAGGTTGTATTCAATATTCTTCTTGGGACAGGAATTCCTCCCCTGTTTGGCGAAGAGATGTGCTAAAAACAAGCAGGTTTGCTGCCTTGAAACCAGATTAATTTAAACTCCAATCCCGGTGTTCACTAGAGCTCCGGGCCTCATTGTAGATTGCCGGCTTTGTTGAAATGCATACGTCAAAGTGATCAATGATACGTGCAATAATCACCCTTTCGGAGAGGGGGCCCTTTGAGCTCTTACCCAAAGTGGTCTCCGTCTAGCCGGCACAAGCATGTGGAGAGAAAGGTGTAAAATGAAGAATTCATTAGGCAGGCAAGATAAGCTGCCTCAGTTGGGTTTCCCCATCATAAATCTTCAATTTCAGAGGTAATCAGTCATCTTGGTGAGAAAGAGAAGACAAGTGAAGCTACAGGTGAGGAAAATCTGTGCAAATGCATTTGCGGTGCCTGAGCAACACTTGTTACAATCAGGCCACATTTTTATTTCACTTCTTTTTTTTTTCACACGCAAGAAGCGGACTGACGTTGACACGCAACGATACCATTGTTTAAACAAACTGATGGTGAGGCTGCTGTGAGGGAAACATTGTCGGTGGCGTTCACAACCCTGTTGCCACCCTGTTCTGTCAGCAGTGTGAGTGTCTTTGCAGTGTGTGGCCTGCGTGTGTGTGTGTGGGATCAGTGCCGGGTTAAAATACAATTCCTTCAGCTTTTACTGTTTTGGACATGAAACACATGCTGATCAGTAAATATCATACTGCGCCTTTTGGCCAATCCACTGGTCTCTGGTGTTTACAGGGAACAGGCATTTATGGCCCAACGTGGCCAAACGTATGTGGTACAATATTATATTATGTGTATGTTTTGAACATCTCATTGTGACATGATGGGTTGGATACAGTCCCACTTCTCTCTTTCTGGCTGCAGTGGCATTGTTGGGGGGGAAACTATACAGCACCAAACCAAACGCGTTGAAACAAGAATGTGGATATATATGTCAGATAGATATGTAGGGATACATGTGTCATTTTGTAAAAGATATAAACGTGCTTTCCAAGAAGACCGCAGATGGCAAACAGTGACTCGTTTTGACAAGGCACGGACCAGGGTCATATTTCTGCACCGTTGTCGCCATCAAGCGGTGACGCAACATAAAGTTCGGTAAAGTGAGAAAAATATTCACAGATTCAGACTTCACGGTTCAACAGCTCGTCAGCAGAACGCCGTTAAAACACAAACGACACTTTTCTGTAACCGTAATGATGTTGACAGCGAAGTACAACCGCTATTAACAATAACTTTACCGATAAGGTACCAGTGCAGGAGCGGTACAAATCACATTGATCTTAATGAGCGGCCGCCCGTGAGACGAGGGACCGTCTGCAAAGTGCAATGCGGAAAAACACATTACAGAAATATTCAATAACATCACTATTACAAATCAAATCATGTCACCATGGCCTTGTACTTGTTGTACTGCACCTGTTATTTTGTTTGATAAAGGCTTTTGAGTGTTTTTTATTAATAATATTCAATATTTATGGCAAATAACGTTCAATAACTCCACTGTTATGGATTCTAGAACAGGGGTCTCAAACTCAAATCAGCTGCGGGCCAGATGCAGCCCACTTCAACTGAACGCGGGCCAGACTAGCATCCGAACGACATGGTCGACAATAACACAACTTAACACTCACTTTCAAAAGCAGTCATTGAACCCCACCCTGGGGGATCGGTCCGAATGAGACTACAACACTAGTCCTCCTTTAACTCAGCGGGGGAGACCTAAGGTCATGTGACCGTGGAATTCCTTTATGGCCAAACGTGAAGTTACGTGAATCGAAGCTGCGTAGTAATGGACGGAGACGCTCGTCGGTGACGTCAGATGCTTCATGTGTTGTTAGTGTGAGTCGTAAAGGAAAACTTTATTAAACGAGCGATGCTAACGGTTAGTCACATGATCACCTGCGCGAAAGAGAGCAGGAAACTGAATTTCACCCTCCTGCTCTCTGCACCTCGGCCGACACACACGACCCGCCCCCCATGTCAGTCACATGCATGCCACGTTCACTGGACAAGCACACAGTAGGAAACCAGAACATCATAACATGTCCCACACAGCAGCTGACAGTGGGGTTACAGTATAAAACTTGCGGGCCGCACTAACATTACACTTTCATATTAAGGATGGGGCCACAAAATATCGTCCCGAGGGCCGCAATTGGCCCGCGGGCCGCAAGTTTGAGACCCCTGTTCTAGAACCACCAAAATCATGGCATATGTCAATGGGCTTGTACTTGTTGCACTACACCTGCTATTTTTTAAGTTTGCTTTTGCACAATTTTAATTAGCGTAATTCTAATGCAATGTAGTGCCATCACATTTAGTTTCACAACCACGGCCACTGGATCCTATTCAATTTCCAGAAACCAGAAAATTGGTTGAGGAGCACTTTCATGAATTAATATACACACAAGACTAAAACTAAATGATTCTTATATATTTGACCTAGCTGTCAATGCAGAATTAGTTAAAGTCTGCTAGTATCATCAGGAATCAGGAATCAGGAAATATTTATTTGCCAAGATATGCTAAACATACAAGGAATTTGTCTTGACGGTTATCATTGGTTTGGTCAAACTAGTGCTAAAGTAAACCTACACTCACCGGCCACTTTAGGTCACATGTCCACAAAACACAGGGACGTGAACAAGTCACAGTAACGTCAAGCAGCTATGGGATGTTTCAGACTGAGAAGAGCTACTTTGTTTAATTATGTCTCCAATTGCTTCGGTGAACTCGTGGTAGTTGGTTTATTTTCTTCTAATCCCAAGTGAACTAAAATCGAGATGCTGACCCAAAACACCAACAACACACCCGCTCGTATGGCAGTTAGTTCTAGTTATGACAGTATTCTGGTAGTACATCATATCAACCTGTCTCCTAAACTTGGGGCGTGTCTATGACATGACGTCTATTTTCTGTGCTCGCGAGACTGCAGCCTCCACTACAACTTCCTTGAGCACGGCGCCATTTTCGGCGTTGTTACGGGACTACAGCATGCTGTTGTTATACAGATAATAATACCAGTATATAACGTTTAAGACTCCTCTTTCAGTATTCTTTAGAAATGGGACGAAAGAAGAAGAAGCAGATGAAGCCATGGTGCTGGTATCCTTTTTGCCTCGGTGACATAATATCGCCGTAGAAATGCCAGAGGCTAGCCGTTAGCTTGACAAAAGGAAGGCCTAAGCCTAGCCTCTCGGAGGGTTTATCTGCCTGTAAGCTAACGCTATCTTAACGACTCGCTCATCTCTAGTAGATTGGTTTGGGATTTTTATTTTCTTATTTTAGTCAAGTCTAGGATTGATACCACAAAAACATTTGAAGTCGTGTGCAGTTAACGGTAACGGATTACGTCGAGTTAATGCTGAGAGGAAAGGTGAGCGAGCTGTCTCCGTTCCGATGCTAGCTCGCTAATGGTTAGCCTGTTAGCTATGAGGCGAGGTTTCAGTGACACATCTAACTGGGCTTGAGCTGGATTAGTGAGAAACGTGCGGTTTTCCAGTTGTGTCTAACACAAGTGAACATGAATTATGTTAATTACGCCTTGGCTCAATATCGTTATGTTTAATCACTAACGTTATGATTGAGGCTTGCATGTTTTTCACTGGCTCGGGTGGTACATGGTGAGTTTTTACATTACATATCATTTAGCTGACGCTTTTATCTAAAGCGACTTTGAAGAAGTGCATTTCAACCATAAGGATACAAGATCGAGAAACACGAAAGTGGAATTTCATCAAATAAGCCGATTTACAACTTGCTCCGTCATTATGGTGATGCTTTCTCTTTCGAACACAATCCTTAACTCTTGACTCTAGGTACTGTAATCGAGACTTTGATGATGAAAAGATCCTAATCCAGCACCAGAAGGCAAAGCATTTTAAATGCCATATTTGCCACAAGAAATTGTACACAGGCCCGGGCTTGGCTATCCATTGCATGCAGGTAAGTGACTCTTTCATTGTCATTTATCTAACTTAATTTATTGAGTGTCTTTGGTTCCGCAGAAAGTGGGAAGTGAATGACTTATCGTATCCACTGGCTCACTCTGCTTGGTTTTCAGGTACACAAAGAAACAATTGACAGTGTACCAAATGCGATTCCTGGAAGAGTTGACATCGAGCTGGAAATCTATGGTATGGAGGGTATTCCAGAGAAAGACATGCAGGAAAGAAGACGAACATTAGAACAGAAATCTCAAGGTTTGTATAATTTAATGTATTTTCCATTCCAATTTCAGTCAAAGGCTATGTAGCTGAATTTATTGTTTTTACCTACATTTTATTTCCTATAATGGCTTTGTGTATTTGGACTGATTAAATGTGCATTTAAATATGGTAAGACCCCCAAGTGGTAGTGGGTAAACATTGGGTGTCCCATCTTGGTTAAATGTATTTTCTACAATGTTATTACGTCCGGTGTGCTTACAAAAACACTTTCTTTTGGTAGAACCTTAAGTTAACTTTCATTTTGTGTAAGCTTCCTGTTACCTTAAATAATATGTTTTTTCTCTTTTCAGAGAGCCAAAAGAAGAAATCAAACAATCAAGACGACTCTGATGAGGATGACGACGACGACGATGAAGCAGGACCATCAGTTCAGCAGGTCGCTGCTGTCCAGCCCCAAGCAGGCTACGCTGCTCCGATGGCCCAGATGGGGATGCCGCCCCTGGCCGGTGTAGCTGGGATGCACCATGGAGGATATCAAGGCAAGGAGCTCTGTAAAAAAAAAAAAGAAGTTTTTAATCGGCATAAACTCGTGTTGAAAAATGAATAATGACTGATTTTAGCCTTCAATGTTTAGGTGTTTAGACGAATGAGACGTGGCAGACCTTGACTTGGTTCTTGTCTGATAATTAGAGAGTTACATTTTAGGATTTTGTGATGTTAGGTTTTCCTCATGCTCAAAAATGCAACAGTACATTGTGTGAATTCTATTTCTCCCTTTTTTTCATCCCCTATTTTCATGGTTACCTTCATGTTAAACACACGTAAATTCAAATAAATGAAACTCAACACACTACTTTTCTGAACTACTACTGCTGACTGAGCGGCTGTAAAGATGTGACGTGGAAACTCTTGAGAGGTCTGGAGTGATGTATTGTTTAATCAAAACGTATCGTCTTACTTGTTGTTGTAGGAATGCCTCCCATGATGCCTGGCGTACCTCCCATGATGCACGGCATGCCCCCTGCCATGCATGGAATGCCACCAGGGTAAAATATCTTATTGATTGACTTATTGATGCGTTTTAATGCTACCATTTTAGATTTAATGCTATTCAGTTTCAGAATTTCAAATTATTTCTTTAATAATAGTAATAAAAGTCTCTGCGTTACCGCACATGCATCATTGCATCCTCGCTTTCCTCTGTAACACCAAATCAGCATGGTCTCTCTGCCTTTTGCAGCATGATGCAGATGGGTGGAATGATGCCTCCCATGATGCCTGGGATGCCCGGTATGCCCCACGGTGAGTTGTGGTTTTATTTTTTGATGTGGTTACAAATAGCATGTCCACAATGTTCTGGTGCCAGACAGGTTAATTGACCTGTTTGGGTCGTTTGTTTAGGAATGCCACCTCACATGGCCCCGAGGCCAGGGATGCCCCACATGGCCCAAGCTGCTGCAGCCGGAGTGATGCCCAGTCGACCGGCACTACCGGTGGCCCAGCCGGCTGTCACCAAACCCCTCTTCCCCAGTGCGGCACAGGTGGGAACCATGCGCAGCCCCCCCCCCTCACCTCCTCCAGTCGGCAGCACATGCTCGAACTTAGTTTAGAGCTTTATCTAAGCCTGTCTACTGATTTAAAGTAGATGGTTGGCAATGCTTTATTTTATTAAACTGTCCCTGCAGTTTCCAGTCAACACAGTTGCTTTCACTTCTCAATACTTCGGATTTCCGATGTACCGCTTATCACATTCTGTAATCCGCTGTTCTTCTTTTGCACTTCCTCAGCGCAATTTCATTTACTTTTCAATCAGCATCGCTATTATGTAGGACATTTAGTTCTCATTATTGAATTTGGATGGAGTGGACATGTTACATGTGATCTCCTTTCCGCCATGCTGCAGATGGGCGCTGGTGTTCACAGCCACGCTGCCGGAGTTTCCTCTCCACCTGCAGACCTTCAGTCTGCCTCCTCTCAGCCTCCCTTTCCTAACTCCCCACAAGTACGCTCGCAGACAGGCCTTCGACTTGTCTGTGGCAGCTGCATGTTGCTTATTTAGGAACTCTGCCTGTTAATTCTCAAGCTTTAGACAACGCCCATTGCCAAAGGGAATGACACTGCATCAAAAGGAACACGCCAGCCTTAATGTTGTTGAACAGTTATCCCTGACAACTGACATACCCTTTTCTCCGTGAGCTTTATATCTGTGCATGTGCTTCAAGCTAACGCAGAATGAGGCGCCAGGTTCTTGGCGTACCGTTCACTTACCATTACATGCGTCTCTTCACAGGCCCAGCAGAGCACTTCAGGAGCTGCAGCTCCAAACTCCCACAGTACAGCTGCCGCCTCCGACCCGCCCAAAGCAACATTCCCCGCCTACACCCAGCCCTCTGTCTCTTCTTCCTCTTCTGCTTCTTCTTCTAACCCCTCTAGCAGCACTGTGGCCAAACCCCCGGCCACAGTGGCCACCAAACCTGCCACCCTCACCACCACGAGTGCAACTAGTAAGTTGATCCATCCTGATGAGGATATCTCACTGGTAAGTTGCTTGAGCTTTCTACTTTGCCCTTTTCACAGTAAGTAATGACTGATACGTATAAGAGCACGTTTATGGATGAGAGGGTCGGTGTGCCATTAGTCTGGAATGCTAATGTTAATGTCATCGTAAAGTTAGACTTTTATAGGAAGCTCGCCAACCGTTAAGCCTGTATTTCCATACACTTACTGTGTAGTTGCACCTTTGTGGGTCTGTTAAAGGATGTTTCTGAACTTGAATGTCCTCAGTGTGAAATCAGGGCACGGCATCATTGGTACCCAATTCCTCCTAATTTTTGTCAGTGTTTATCTTTGTGCTGTAAAGGGCACACTAGATTTTCTTCAGTCTGAACATGCGCTCTTGTGTTGTCTCTACCAACAGGAGGAACTGAGGGCCCAGTTGCCCCGTTACCAGCGACTTGCACCCAGGCCGGGTCAGGTCCACGTTGCTGCTCCCCCTGTGGCGGCTGTGGGCAGCATAATGCCCCCACAGCAAGGCATGCTGCCACAACAGCCTGGCATGAGGCACCCCATGCACGGTAAGAAGATGCTTGTTATGCACATTGGACGTGGTTTCTGCCCGAAGATCCAAACCTGAGACTAAATGTATTGAGTTTGTGAATCTTAAATGGAACCACTTTATTGTCGCTATCTTAATGATATCATCTAAAGGATTTTAGACAAATTGCTCTCACATCAATTGTAATGAAAACTTGGTAAAGTCATAAATCCTAAGGAGAACTGAGAAGGACTTGATCCCATGCAGTTTGCCTACAGGCCACACAGGAGTACAAGCAGCCACTTGTGTGCTTTTATTAAATCCATCTTTTTGTCTGGTGTCATGGTTTGGAAACCTCCTTTAAAGAACAGAAACTGGAATTGTCTGAGTCAAAGCTGTACACTAGACTTTTACAGCGGGTAACCTGCTCCATCTTAAAGGACCACTTCCACCTTTTTGTACAGTGACATTCAGCTTCTTCCCTCTAGATGGGGGTATGTATTGTAGAAGAAAGCTCTATAAAAACAGCTTTGTTCCAGCAGCCACCACTCGGGTGAACAAACTAGAGGAACAGTACACAGATGCTATAAAAGCAAGGTGTATGTATTTACTTGACTTGCTTCACTTTTGATTTTACTTGGTGATTTACTGATTTGTACTTTAATCACCTTCGTCTTGCCTGGGTGGATTGTAATGTGTGTCGAGATGGACGCCAGTATACTTTTGAACACATTTCTGTAATAGTGGAGAGGACACGGTCTAACTACTTACAATTATGTGTTTATCGATGGAATCGGCATAAGCTGCAGTTTTAAACATAAGCTGTGGGATCTGTTAGAATAGCAGTATTAACGCACTGTCCTCTCCTTGTGTTCTGCTTGCAGGTCAGTACGGCGCTCCTCCTCAGGGCATGCCGAGCTACATGCCTGGGGGGATGCCTCCCTACGGGCAGGGTCCTCCTATGGTGCCCCCCTACCAGGGAGGCCCTCCCATGGGCATGAGGCCGCCCGTCATGTCTCCGGCTGGGCGCTACTGAAGCGGCAAAGCAGCCACCACATTAGGTTTGGGGTTAACACCTTTCTCTCATCCTTGTGCTTTTTCAAACCTAGCTGCAAAGCAAAGCGCAGTAAGACCAGCGGTGGTGAAGACAAACATTTGTTAGAACTATTGGACATTTTCATGTAACATCTTTATTGGAGAACAGCCAATCACCACACAAGTTCCTGAGAACTATTTTGTTGTCATCTGGTTTCATGTGAGAATATATATCCCCCCCCCTGCCCCCTCCCCACACATAGGTTTCACTCAGGTTTATAGAAGTAAAGTGTGTTAAAATGATTCATATTTCTTTTGAAGCTGCTGGAGTTACATGAACGTACCGACCCCTTACAAAGGCAAGTTTCTCTTGTAAACATTTGATTCTTTGAATTTTCTTTCTTTTTATTTTGGATAGATTGGGGCCCTCACAGCGCGCTTAGGTGCTGTTGGACTTGCGTCCCCAACCTTGGTTGGTGAGGGTCTCAGTGACAAATGATTCCGACTTCAGTAGTGTTAAAAATCCACGACTCTTCAGTCCGTAGCTTTATCCTTATTCCAGGTTTGCTTTTAATATGTCCTGGTCAAGAGGGTTCCTGTATGCATCCTTTGTAATGTTTTATGAATCTGTTGTAATAAAATTCATCTTGAAATTCAATGCTGGTTTGTCCTGACGTGCGTGGAGGTGAGTGATGAAGGTTTGTACTGGTGTACTTATGCTCTTTTTAACGACCAGGGTTCAGGTATTTAAAAACCAAGTTTGCCATCATCTGTTTGAGGGTTCACCTCGCATCGTATAAGGATACATATTGCAAAAGAAAATGCTATTGCATTAGGTCAGAAGGAGATATAAGATTTTGTTGTGCACCACAAGCGCAAAGCTCTGATGTTGGCCAACTTGTGCTTCTAAATACTGCATGTTACCTCATAGCTGCAGATTACATACTACATGGAGATGCACTCTGAAAAGGAAACTAAATGTCTTTCCTGATCTATTAACCGTTTCCTCTTTACATGTATACTGGTACTCAAACATGCATGAATGCTGTAATGTTAGTTTGTCGTGTCCCCACTACAGGGGGGCAATGCAAAACAACAAACCCAACAACACAGCAGCTCTGAGTCAAAGTCCAGTTTTACAGAGTTCTGCGATTCAGTGGTGATCGGGTTCATAGTTTAAATGACTCGTAGATGCAGACGTTGCTGACTAGTGACGTAACTCCCTGAATCACCTTCCTGCTTCAAGATGTAATGATATAATCAAAAAGCAAGAGTTCAGAAGAAATCCCTCACAGTGGATGGTGGCGACGTCTATTCTTAAACCCTACTTGTCATTTGGGCATGAAGCTCGGCCTGAGGCGACCTGCTCTGCTGCGTTGTTCTGTATTGCTGGGTTTGGTTCATCTGACCTAAACGTTGACAATCAGCCGCGCAGCCTCTGAGGTATCGGGCCGCTGACACGAGGGTTCGGGTTGTTTGGGCCTCGTGTGGACCGGGAGGGCTGGGGAGGGAGGGGGGGTTCTTGTGGGTGTTTAGAGTGGCATCATTGTTTCCTCTGCGCACATCACTTACTCCTCTGTATTTGTTTCTGTTGTTCATAGCCCGTCCGTATCAGCCTTAAAACCCACTGAGCTGGCATGAGAAGGTCAGTTACACCCAGTAAGTACCTGCTTGTTTTAGTCCCGGTCTGTCCTGTACGACGGGCCGCTAGGCGTCGTGTTTCTTCATGTAGTGTTTTTAAACTGTTAATTTTTTTTGAGGACTTTTAGATGGGTGTAGTGTTTGAGAGAAGCAACCGTGGTTCCTTTTCAGTGATTTAAGGTACAACAACTTGGGCATTGAAATGTAAATCCTTTTTTTTATTGATGGAAAATGTTTATGTTGAATAGTGTGGATTATGAAAAGGAGCGCTCTGCCTAAGGAAGGTGTTTCTTTGGTTTAATAAAAAACTGAAACAAATTCATGTTTGTATAAATGAAGTTTTTGGAGCAGATGTTTTGGTATTTGGGGAATACCAGCGGCTCTAAGAAGCCATTTAATTAATATGTAACCAGTCAGTGTCACGTGTTCTTTTTAATAAAGTGATTGCATTACTTTGGAGCCTATTCTATTTGTCTTTGGAATCGGGAAACATTATTTACCTAAATGTGTTTGACATACAACAAATTTGACTTGGCGGTCAAGACAACATAGTACAAGAAAATGGCGTGTTAATTTGAGATTTACAATTTAACGTTACGGTATAAAATATAAGGCTATGGGCTAGAGGGATATAGAATAAACAATTAAAAATAACTGCTAAGGAATTTAAATAAGTAAAAAAAAAAAAAAGACTCCCTCTAGTGGCCTAAATGGGATGTCATTCAGCCACTACAATGATCTACTTTAACGCCACTTCTCAAAGGACAGAAACCCTCAAAATATCTGGTTTTAGATCCAATATGTTTATAGATTGTTTGCTCTTAATATGTTGTGTCCAAAGTTTAATAACCGCAGTGACTGAGTGAGTGATGGAAGCATTAATGGTCATGTCTTTACCTGTTACATATTCATTTAAAAATAATTAAATTAAATTAATTAAAATTAGTCTAAAAATACATATGTCGTATTTCCAATCTCCACTTTTTATTAAATTACATTTCATTATGTTCTCTATCAGCATTTGTTTATTGTCGTTCATTTAAACCGCTTCGCGCGTGTGTGTGTGTGTGCGTGCGAGATATCTGCGGTCTTGGCTGTTAGTTAATTTACTTATTTTTGTGTAGGTAATACACAACTGGTCTTTCATCATGTATTTATAAATACGAATATTACCCAGTGCAGAGTTCATATTGTTTCCTTCCTTTTTGACCATATTGCAAAGTATTACTTAATGTTAACCTGTATGTAATGTACTCACTTTAGTTCAGTATTTGCGTAAAAAGTAATGAAATGGAAACTTCCTCAAACCAAATTGTGCATCTATGTCCGAATTGAGCTTCTTTCTTTCTTGCGGTGGCTTATTGTCTTACATTTCCAGGCATTAGTCATCCTTGTGAGGTTGTGGTTCGAGGCTCAGCACATGCTGTGTTGCACAAGTTTGAGACCGCACAAACATTTGGTCCACCTCCCTGAGACATTCTAACTTATGGTGATCTAAATGTGATTGATTAAACGATTGAATGCACGTGACTGTGGTGCTGCAGACCCCCTTTGGAGCAGGAGCATGCGGCCTTTTAATCAGAGCATTAAAATTATAAAAGCAGCTGAGATCAGTGCTCGTCAATCAAGTATCGAAGCTCAGTCGGCAGGCGTCTTTTCCGAGAATCCTCAGGCAAATAATCAGAAAGCAGACTTGTCGCGTTCGGACGCCGGCCGTCCGTCACAATCATTACCTCTGGAACCTGTAAAAATATGAAGTGCTTGAGACACCAGACCGTGTGAACGGCGTTCATTAAAATGATTCCTGATTCCTCCTGAAAAGGTCCCAAGTGAATGAGTGTCTTTGGCTGTGACCCACTGCAGATGCTGGATCCATGTGAACGGAACCTTTGCTCTGAGCTGTGATGAAATGCCTCAATAATTCACTTTGCCTCCGAAGCTTTGGCGTGCGTGCGTGTGTTCTTCCTCTTGTGTCTTGAGGTTTGAAGGTGGAGCTTCATGGAGTTCCTCTTGGGTTTCATTTACACCCACAGCTTTTGTTTCTCCAGCTCTTGCGTGCATGTGACCTGTGATGGTTTACATCAGCGACTTACCGCCCCAGGATCGCGACTAGTGTCTTCTGGCGGCGTTCAACATGACGAAGGTGGCTCCCCTGTGGGCTCTGCTCATCTTCATCACCCAGACTGGATCTGGTGAGTTGATCATTTGGCATTTTGAAAGTAGAGAATTGTGATCACCAGACAAGAACACGGATGAACATGTGTGTTTCTCTTCTATGAAGTACGCAGTGACATGGTGTTCCTGCAGAGGAACGAAGGCGACTCGGTGCTTCTCCCCTGCGCCGTCGAGCCGAGGGAATCTCCGCCCTTCGGGGTCTACCTGAAGCGCCACTGGCTGCGTCCCCGCGAGGTCCTGTTCAAGCACGTCGGCCACGAGCACACCGTAGACAACGGCGAGGACAAGGGCCGCATCAAAGTCAGCGGAGACGCCAACCTCCACGCTCTGAATGTGACCATCTCGCAGCTGAGTGCGGCGGACACGGACCGCTACGTGTGTGAGTTCATTGTGGCCACCGTTTCCTCCGAGGACGAGCGGAGACCTGGAAGCAGCGAGTTCTTCCTCCTCGTTACGGCCGGTGAGCGTCCGTTCCTTTCTTCCCACGTCACACTCACCTTTTTCACTAGTTTTCTGCTCCCACGGGGAACTTGAGCTTTCCACGACTCTTAACAAGAAGGTCAAATACAAGAGTGTTGGTTTTTGCGAAAGGTGTTTTTTGTGTTGTGAAACAAAGCGTGTGGTAAAGGAGTATCACGCTGGTGTATCATCCAGGTTTGGGTCCGGGTGCACTCGAACTACAACTTCAAAAAGGATGACTAATGCCTGGAAGTGTGTGCCAATAAGCCACCGCGAGAAAGAAAGAAGCTCATTCAGGACATAGATGCGCAATTTGGTTTCAGGAAGTTTCCATTGTGTTACTTTTTACACCAATACTGAACTAAAGTGTGTGCTATTGGAATCAATATGAACCCTACACTGGGTAATAACTGTAAAGATATGAAGTATATTATGTTGCTGTCGGGTATTACACCGGCAAGATCTGCCAAAGCAAGATAGTCTTATATGCTTATCTTTAGGGGGGGGGGTCCCAGCTGGCACCAGGCGACAGACTGACAAACAACCACTCTCACATTTACACACACGCAGAACGTGTAAAACTCCACACAGGAAGGCTGCTAACCACCAAACCCCCGCGTGCCCACCTGCCGAGACAAGACTAACTTTGACTCGAGAGTTTAATGTCAAAAGATCAGAAATGAATTCTCACACGGCGCGGCCGTGCTGAGCTTCAGCGGCGAGACCAAAATGGCTTCTGAGGTTTATCCCCTTTCCCTTCCTGAAGATGCCCCCGCCATGGCCGACTTAGGGTCGGTAGAGACGTGTTCGGGGGGCTCAGCCGTGCTCCCCTGCCTCCCCCCGCACGGCGAGGCCCTGCCCGTTGAGGGGGTGAGTCTGAAGCGGCAGCGGGGCCGGGCGCCCGCGGAGGTGCTGTACCACTCAAAGCGTCACCAACACGGCGGCAGCCCCCTTCCTTCCCCCTCGTCCTCCCGGTTCTCCGCGGAGAGGGTGCAGCTGTCCTCGGCGCCCGGCCCCGGGGGCATCACCTACAACCTGACCCTGCTGCAGCTGCAGCCGGCCGACAGCGGCCTGTACAGCTGCCAGCTGCTCCTGCGTGGCGGGCCCGACACCAGCACCGGTCTGGGGACACGTGCGTTCTTTGTGTCCGTGCAAGGTGGGTCAAATCACTGCAGGGGTGGGGGGGGGAGACTCCATACGAGTTACGTCGTCTCACCCAAGTTTTGTTTTTCGGGCTTTGGTTCTTTTGTGGCACACGTGTTCTGGTCTCTGATGTCCGTCTCTACGCCTTCTGCTCACACAGCTGCTACTAATAACGTTCGTATCAGCGGCTGGGACTGAAAAACAACTGTTTTAATGTAATTTCGGTCTGTTTGTTTCTCTTCAAATAATCATTAGAATAGAAATCATCTGAAATGTCGACATCTCTTCAGTTACAGAAGCACTTTTCACTGTGTGCTCAATACCGACAGAACTAGACCATAACAGACGTCACTAACGCAATACGTTTTTCCTTTCTTAAATCCTCCCGTAATCGTGTATGTCGTCATCATTCTGGTGCAGTCCCACTTTCTGAATGTCAAGGTTGAGCAGTACCACATTTATGTGTCTTAGGTGGTCTGTCTGCTGCTAATCTAAAGATTTCCTATTATCAGTCATGTAAAAACACCAGAAACAACAATGGAAGTCTCCTTCTGACAAGTGTTTTCTGTGAATTTGAGTGACAGTTGCTGAAAACGACAGTGCCATCAAATGTTTGAGTAATAATTTAATCTACATACTTGTGGCCCTTAGACTTGGACCAAAGCATTATTTATATATTGTTTAAATATATATATATATATATATGTATATATATATATATATATATATATATATATATTTCTTGTGTCTGAGCCATCAAATATCTGTTTGCTGCTGATTACTGCAGCCTACAAATAGGAAGGAAGTTCGGCTCTGTGGTCTTCTGCAGTTCCACTGAACCCATCGCACTCGAGCCGCCTCTTAAACCACAGACTAACGTACTGCTTTTGTTTACGTCTTACGCTATTTTGTGAATGCACTTTCTTCTCCCAGCAGCCGTCTAAATCACCACTTCTCGTCTCCATGTGCTTCTTCACAGGAGGTCAGTGCGGCTGCTCCAACTACTCCACCCTGCTGTATGCTCTGTCCTCAGCGGTGGTCATCCTCGTCCTCCTGCTCGCCCTGCTGTTTGTGGTGTTCTATAATGTGAGTGGACCTCGTATTGTAACGCGCTGCTCTCGTCCTATGCGAGGAGAAGGGGGGCGGGAGTTTACACGTTGCCGAAAAGCAGCAGCATATTGAGGGCGCGAGTCTGTGACCACAAAACCACAGTACTTTCAAAACCTTTTGCTGTCAGTTGTAACCATGTTTTTCTTCAAATTTGAGTCCTAATTCTTTTAGTTTGAGTGTAAGACGAGAAATGAATCTAAGAAGTGTATGATGGTGTATTTTGAACGATCGTAAAACATCCATTATTATTATTAACGGTGACACTCTGGGACTTTGTGTTAAAGATTCTGCCTCGAGATAAAAGCGGACAAACTTTGATTTTAACAGGAAATCTGCTTTTGCACTTCACTGATTTGTTTTGTCTCTGTTTCAATGATCGTCAGGGCAAAGCCCGCAGCAGTTCCACCCTCAAGTCCCACCCTCAGGCCCCCATCTACGAGGAGATGACCGGGTTGCAGGCTTTCGGTCGAAAACCGCAACCCCGGCATCTGGAGGAACAGGCTTCATCTGAGTACACAAACTGCCAGCAGAAGAAATCCTGTCCCGAAAACCATTACGAAAGCCCCAGCGGGGCCCTCGGCCCTCGGAGTGATGCTCAGAAATGAAATGTCAGACATTGGCCCCATCTTTGCTAACTAGTACAATAGAACCTCTGCAGTATCTCCAGCAGGCTGTGACAGAAAGGTTCCCCCTGCACGTCTTCAGGTCAGGAGTGTGGGAGAGGAGAGAGGGAGTCTGTACCCCCCCCCCCCCTCTTTAGCACTAAAATCTGCCAAAAACTCCCCAGTTTACATTTAAATACCTGACAAACTTATTACATTGACCCTAAAATCCTCAAAAAGAATCAATCAAACTTTCCATACAGATCCTGTTTATTGGTTTGTATGTGGCTTTTATTTCTCATTTCTTTGAAAACAAACGTGGTAATGGATGCCTTGTGTTATGCGGCCACTCTAAAAAAAAAAAAAATCACGAATTGAAAGACCAAAGTGTCCAATCTGCCTAACCTGCATAACAAGCGGTTTCCTTGCAGAACCAAACAAACCGCTGCACCTCCTGCACACCACATTACCCGCTGGCATTGCGGATAATGTGACGGTACAGCCCGAGCTGCCTGGTTTATTGACCCCAAAGTATTGTTTTCGATGACATTTGTCTATGCATTTATCTCCAGTACGCTTGACTCCTGGGACGGCGTGTTTATGCGTCTCTGTAAAAAGCCAAGCAGAACGCTGCAGCTCGAGTCCTCACTAGGACCAGGAAAGTGGATCACATCCCTCCAGTTGTCTTCACACTGGCCTCCTGTCAAAGAATTTACTTTAGACCCCGGCTGTCGGTTTAAAGCGCACTGAATGGTTCGGGGGCCACGGTACAGTTCGGATCTGCTGATACCTTGTGTGATGGTCGTCTGGGACGGGTCTACTTTCTGTTCCCAGTCAAAGCAGCTTCAGTTCCACATACTGTATCTGAAACTAAGTCCCAGAAAGCTGTTTGCTGTTTTGCTCCTCAAACTATTTTTAAGTCTCCTTGCTTCATGTTTGGATGTTTTCATTGAATTGCTTGTGGAAATGTGCTATTCCAATACAATACTAGGACTTTTTTAAATGCCATTTCATTGTATTGTCTCCCACCCTTGAATAAATTGTTTATTATTCGCTGTTGCTTCTCTAAACGTATTCAGTATTGATTAAATAAAACAATACTTAAAAATCACTGATGGAAACCAGGGGGACACATTTAAAAAAAATGACACCCAATAACAGCCAAGAAAATTTGTAATTTATTAATATAGTCCGAAAGAAGATCCATAATCCACGGAAACATTTTCTGGTGTATGTTCTTAACAATCACATTCTATGAGGAGAAACAAATCAACATTAAAAGCCACAACTTTGTATTTCAGTTACAGACATTTTCCATAATGTTTTTTTTTCCTAAGTAAAGAGAAAGGCAAAGGCAGAGTTCCCCGATTGGCCCACAACCCTCCCCCCTCCTCCTCCCAGTTCATAGAAAAAAAAGAAAGAAAATGACCTTAAAAGTCTTGGGCTTTTTTTTTCAGTACAACCCACAGTGCTTTAGCAGAAGAATAAGCGCTCATTGGTTAAGGGTTACACACAATGTAAAGTCTTACTCAAACATTAGATGTCGATGATGCTGATGATGATGATGATGATGATGAGGGGGACGAGGGACGCCGATTGGAGGAGATTTGAGCACGAGAAAAACAAACGACAACAAGCCCACATAAAACCCTGAACCCCAGAGTCCGAGTCGACAAACAGCAGCAGCACAGCGGCTCGGTTCGGACTCCTCCCTCCCACTTGTGCATAGATCATGATCCTTTAAAAACCAGCTTTATTTCCCCCCAAACGTGCCTCTGAGAACCATCCGTTACACGTCAACCAACCTCCAAGCACCTGTCGCAGGAGCAGACATGCCGACAGACAGGAGAGATGACTTAAGAATCATTAAAACAAAACAATACAATACTTGCACAATGCTCCTGGACCACAGGATGGAAACTTTAAAGTCAAAACGTACAAATGCATTTTTCTGTCACTGTCTTTTCCACAAACTGTTGATCAGTTTAAATGTAAAGCAATTATACTTAGATTTCACATGTAAAGCGCTCGGCTTTCTTTCAAAGTTGATTCTTAGTCTTATTTGGTAAATATATAACTTGCTACAAACGTTTTTTCGTTGGTACTTGGTACTTTCTATATTCTGTTAAACTCGTGACCTTCAGTGCTCGCTTAGAGTTTAATTCTTTTCACAAAAACATTAAATCTAGAAATGATGGAGTTGTGATCTGGAACCCTGGCCTTCCTGAGACAAAATCCACATCTTTAATGAGTGTGCAAGATATCGAGCAAACTGTCGCTTACAGGAAATATAAAATCACAACTCAATACATAGAGATAGTCTGTCGACGCTGAACGAAAGAACTATTGAAATGACGCAACACTGATCAATCCCAGAGTTCTTAAAAGTAGCAATAGTCTTCATTTTGCAAGATTTCCATGTCCACATTTGATGGAAGATGAAATTAGTCTCAATTTGTCTCAACATTCCCGTTATAAATTCCTATTAGCTTGAACTTGGGATGAATGAAATGCTTGTAAACGACAGGTGGCTTTTGCAAAAAACAGACAAACAGAAAAGATAGGCACCTCTGAAATGAGTCTTGTAACAAACTCACCTCCCACACGTCATCCCGTTCTATTTCTCTTAGTTAACTTAGGGATCTCTAGTCCTTCTACAACTATCTATGGCCACAGTTCTTGTTTTTTTTTTTTTTACCCCCTTTTGTTTTTATAATTTTTTTAAAACTTTTTTTATGTTACATTTTTTTTCCCATTTTTTTTTTTGTAGAATTTGAACAAAATGGTGCAATACTCAATGATAATCCTTGTACTGGATTATTCCACAATAAAAGCCACTATAAGGTAGATCAACTTTTTACAGATAGAATGAACACAAATCCATTAAGTCCTTGAGTAAACATGAACACGTGAATTGTCACCGTCTCCCCTCAGTACTTAAACTCGTTTACCTACGATTAGCTGAGCGAGGGGCAGAAGACACTCAGTGCAACGTTAGACGATAATAACAATGTCTATCACAATAGTTTTTTGACAGAAAAAAACAAATAAAACAAAAGAAATGTAACATACTGAGTGGAGCATTACAGCGGCCCGCGTGCCCGCTACACAGTTTCTCGCGCACACATTCATACGAACATCTGACCTTCACGCACACATCAAAGATGACGTTTGCATTTTTTTCCACAAAAGATTTTGTATTTGTAACTCGATGCAATACATGTTTTTCTATTGTCTAAAAGCCCCTGGGTGTACCCGTCAGATGGAGAGAACAAAAGGAGAAAAAAGACTTCACATTACATTGTTGGCGCTCCGTGATTCAAGTATTTGCGTTTAATATTTTGTCTTATTTTGATATGTCTGTGATTTCTGACTGGACTGGTTGTGTTGGGCTTATAGACGGCTAACTAACAAACATATACACATATGTACAGTACGAGCACTTCAGAGTACTGTAATATGTCAGCGAAACCGGAACGTGCATATCCAACTCCATACAAGAAAGCCGATGCTTCCAATCAATAAAGTATCAGTTCACACCCCCCTCCCTCTCCCCCCCCCAAATTCTCTCCTTCGTTTCACTTATTTGCGGGGAAAATACATATTGCTCATTTTTCAGTTGTGTGAAACTAAGATCTTTTTCGAACAAAAACGAAACGTTTCAGAGGTCACGATCCAAGAAGTCTGAAGAGGTGATACCACACACACACCAAACTGACAGTATGCATGTGTGTGTGCATATATAGATACACGTCTATGTAAATACACACACACACACGGTTATCTAGAGCGGAGGTGTAGAGAGGAGGCCCTCTGGATGCTGGTGCAGCATGGGAAACCCCTTCACGGTCAGGGTGCAGGAGGAGGTCCGGGCTGTTGGGTCTGTCTGAGCTTGGATCAAGGCAGTTACAGAAACAGGCAATAGTGATTTTTGCTTGTGTGCTGCAGGACTGAGAGTCCTGAAAGGTAGCCTTTCCCCCGCCTGCTTTTTTTTCTCCTCTTCTTCTTCCGCCATGTTTTTTTTTTAAACTTTTTTTTTTTCCAAAATGTTTTTAAGACTTGGTACCTCTTGAGATGTGCCCCCCCCCACCCCCACTCCGCCTGACGCAGAGCGAGGAGAGCGAGGCTGATACAGTTGTCCCGAGCCGTCTGGGTCTGTGGACACGTACAGTTCGGCGGTCGCGCTTTGAGCGGGACACAAACATAAAATCCAGATAAATACAGCATCCACAAAAAAGGCACCCCGGCCACCAGTCTACCCCTTTAGATGGTGGTAGTAGAGGCTGATGACCGGAGACGTTTCAGCTAGAAGTGCAGAGCTTTAACATATTATAGATTTTTTTTTTCTCCATTTAGATTTTTTAGCATTTTTAAGATTTTTATGTCAAACTTCATAAAAATGACGTTAAAATGCAATTTTATTTTTGGTTTTAAAAAAATATGTACCCGGGATTACCCATCATCAACTGTGCACTGTAGCAAACTGGGAAAACCCAACTGAGTAAAGATTTTCTCCATCGCATGGGGCGATCCCCACAAAAGCATAACAAATCAAATAAACTCTCAGCCATTTGAGGGTGTGATGCTGCCGCCATTTGTTCCATCCCTCCTGTCCCCCCGCTGCGCCCTCTGCAAGGTCATCAAAGCTCCTCCAAACAGGGAACAAGTGCTCTCTGTAAAGACACAGCTAATTTATATTGGCACATTATGTTGGTGACTTTTATCGGGGCCCCCGACGCAGTCAATATAGAAAAAGATCCCAAACCAGCCTTTTCCCTTCCAATTAGGATCGAGTTGGAGGCGTGAGGTCCGTTCATGAAGCGCAGACGGTCCTCCCGTTTAAGACTTTGCCCCCCTGCCTGCCCCCCCCCCCGGCTAAGAGGGCCGAGAGAGCGCCATCTCGCACTCGCCGCCATCTACTGCCCGACCCTGAGTAACAGTGGACAGAAGGGTCTCCAGCACACAGAGGAAGGCCCTACCTTTTGATTAAGTGCCTGGACTCGGGTACGGTTCCGGGGGCTCAGCCTGACTCTACGCATTCTGAGGGGGGGGCGCTAAGGGGTTCGCCGCGCTCTGGGACGAGTGCTCGTTCCCGAGTGAGGTTGGGCGTGCTGTAAAGGGCCCCAGCCTCGAGTCTTTTGCATAGAAACAGATGGGAGGGGCCTGTCCGTGCCTGGTCAGAGTGAGGAGGCGGGGCTACTGGGTCTGGTTGAGGCGGAGCCGGAGAGGAGGTCACAGCGTGTAGCAGCTAGGCAAAGGGCGAGGGCGGGGTTTGGGGGGGGGAAGGGGGGCTGGAACAGGCGGAGCAGCTTGGCGCAACAAACACCCACGACCCCTCGTCTGAGACACCCAATTTTTACACATCTCAAGGTACTACCTGGAAGTACTACAGAATACTGTTAAACACAAAAGCACGATCAGTTCAAAACAAATTGACAATCAATGGCGCTCCGTAGTATTGATCCTCGTTTTGCATTCAATACACAGGGCGAACGTGCAGAGGCACCTCTGACCAAAGTGTTTCTGCATATCAACAGTGAGGGGGCCGGTTCAGCAGCCAGAGTTGTGTGGACCACTGCAGGCGACGACACATTGGAACAGATAAAGTCAGAAGGATCTTTCCCACAAAGAAAAATAAATGAACAGTGGCAAAGAAAATTCCAGAAATATGACTATTCCCTCTTCCAGCTAAAGTGATCTGTGTGTCAAAGAGCGTGGAGCTGGGGGAGAGGGCGGGACGAACGTCCAGGGGTCCAGGGCTGTGAGCCATGAGTTGCCAGTCTGGGAGGCGTTTTTTGCCTGGCACGGCGGGGGGGGCTGGGGGGAAGTGCTGCGCTGTAGGGGCCGCCGCTCAACCCCCAGAGCGACCTCAGCACAGACCCCCCCCCCCGACGTTGCGAGTCCCGTACCTCCAAACAGAAAAAGGCAAAGTATTTGGAGTAACAGTGATATTCACTTCGATATCGTTCAGAGGAGGAAAGAAACTAAACAGACTGCAGTTGTTCACCAATGTCCAATGGTACATTTCAGTTTGTGTTTCCCTTCATCCTGCTACCGGAGGAAAAACACAACACATATAGTACATAAAAGAGCAGAGTTTCTTTCGTTTTTTTTTCAATGTTCACGCTGCTCCTTTTTTTCTCCTCCATTTTGATTCATTGGATTGCGGTTGAAGCGATTTGCTCTTCATAAGTGCTATGATAAAACCCTTTGAATTTATAAAAGTCTCTTCTGTTTGTACAGTACCAAACGCAAGGAACACTCGAAGGTCTACTGCATTAGGAGAAACCCCTCTTATTTGGTATTGTGCCAGATACCCAGAACCGTCCGATCCCACCGTGGACTCTCTGCTGGGTGTGGCTGTGGCATGCGGAGAGGAAGTGTGCATTATTGTGTCACTCTTTAGTACAGTTCAACAGCTGCTTCCTCCTCCTTGCAGAGTTCTCCCCAGCAGCTTCGGGGGGGGCGGGGGATTGGCGGCCTGGAGGGAATCCAAGTTTGTTTTGAAAAAGGGTGTTCGGCTTGTGACGATCCAAATGTCTTTTGCTGCGATCGGCAACAATCGAGAGAACGAATAAGAAACCAGCTGCGGCGGACGGAAGAAAGGTCTATGGTGTATATTGCACAATGTAAGGTGAAATTGTGTTCTTTTCTTCTGGTTTTCTTTTTTTTCTCTCTCTCTCTCTCTCTCTCTGGCCGACCATACGAACCGCTGGGCTTCGTAACAAATCTGACAATAGAAAATTCAGCAAAGCACCAGTAAGCGACTGGGTTGAAGGTGACCAGAAGGATCTGGGCTTGCAGTGATTGGGTGCCACTGGACCTACGTAGGCGTGTACGGAACCAGAGACACGCAGTGAGGTTGACAGATAATCTTCTCTCAGCTTATATATCGTAGATATCAAAAAAACGCTTGGGTCTAGCCATACAAAAAAAGGAACATTTTTACAGCTGTGTCAATCCCTTTGAGAAAGCAAAATAATCAAGCTGATGATTGGTAGGGACCAGTCACGTGGCCACGACGTCGCTCAGCGCCCAGTGGCAGTCGTGTCCTGTAACACCTGCTGGTTCAGAGGTGAAACTGTGCAAGATTTCAGCTATTTCTTGAGTTACCAAAGAAAGAAAGAACAAAGAAAAGGCTGCTTGGGAAGGACCTGGGCCACAGAGCACTTAAGGCTAATTTTAGTGCTGAGGAACAAACGGAACTAGTAAAGGTCTTTGAACCCCATCATTGGCCATGGACATGCTGGGAATGGTCGTTTTAAGTCTTATTTGGGGATTTGTCTTCTTTTTGGAGGGAAAAAGGAAAAGTCTCAGATGGCAGCTTTGATTGCTTCTCCTAAAAACAGTCTCCAAAACAATTTCACACAGAACGTCATGTATACTTATGGAAAAACTAAAAACACTCCAAAGGTTTCTTTGTATCGTGTCTCATTTCAGTTTGTTTTATACAATGCGTTTAAAGAAAATACCAAAAAAGGTAAACCAAAGGAAAAACGGACCGATGCAAAACAGCAGGACCGGAGTCAGCAGTCTATGTAGTTCGGACTCCGACCTCCTGATTCACAGTTCACAGTTCAAACAGCTCAAATTGATACTGATTATCGCCACATGATTTGCTTGGGTTTTGCTCCTGTTCATATTGAGTTTTTTATTTATTTTTTAAACCACCCACCACCGATGGCTTACGTGACATGGTGGTGGTGGTGGTGGTTGGTTGGTTGGTTGGTGTATCGTGGCATCATCCTACATGGACTCTCCACTCAGCAGATCTCCAGGCAGCAGGGTGTTAATGGGGGTGGGGCTCCCGATCACACGGCCGTCGTCGCCGCCTGGCGGCCCCCACAGGCTGGAATAATGGGGCATCCCGCCCCACAGCAGGTCGCCTCCACCGGACTTGCCTCCGCAGCTCCACTGGCCAATGGAGTGGGACTGTGCCGCCCCGCCCATACGGTTCTGATTGGTTCCTGGGTTGGCCTGCCAGCTAGTGGTGTTGTTCGCCAGGGACTGGCCTTGTGCAAAGAAGCGGTTCACCTCCTCCCTCGCCGGCGAACTCCGCCAAGATGGTGGTGTTTCCCAAGCACACACCTTGCAGAGAGAGACAAGAGAGGAAAACCGAGAAATTGAGACTTAGTAGTTTTCATGTTATGAAGTAAAAAAGGGGACGGCATATAGCGGACATTCATATAGTGCTGTTTGTTTAGGGCTCTAACATGCTATTATCTGATTTTGTGGCCCACCCATAACCACATTTCGTGCAAATGATAAAGTGGGTCACATAATTTGCATTTTGTTCCTATGACAACCAGCTGCCGTGGCTGCCACTGTTAGCAAAGCCAAATTTAGGTCAAACCTGAGGCAATTAGACATGAAACAACAAATGTGACCGGAGACTGGCAGTGAGCTGGTGTTTCCTTCCATTCAAAATGGAATTGTTACAACAACATTATTATTATTACTACAATACAGATGACTGCTGCATGAATCACCACATAAAACATTGTTTGCACTCGTCTGAAACGCTGAGCTGTTGCAGCATGGGAAACCACTAAGAAAAAGGGGAACATTAGGTGAAACCCTTTTCTAGCTGTGTGACCGTGTGCTCACTGTGACCTATTGAAAGCAGGAGAAGTTGGGAAAGAAAGTGTTAAAGCTTCCTTCATTTCCCGACCCCACTTTGGCTGACGCAAGACCGCTGAGGCTTACATGTGCAGAGACTTCTGGGCCTTTGCGGCCTCGTCTTTGGAGCTGTAGCGCACCACGGCGTTCCCCTGGGTCAGGTTGAGGTGGAATGTGACCAGGGGTCCGTGCTGCATGCACAGGGTCCGCAGAGTCGAACCGTCAATCTGGAGCACCACAGAAAACAAAAGTCAACACAATTGACAGTGACGGCTAATATCTGAGATTATTCAGTAAACACTTGTTTCCATTGCAGAATTGTAGAATAATATTAATTACATGTTAGATACATGGCACCGAGCAGATCTTTCCGATTCCTGATAACAACATCAACCTAGTGAGAATGTGCAGCACGGAACACGTACTTGTGGGGTGAGGTTCCTCAGCACCAGCCAGCTGCTGGTCCTGTTGGAGCTGTCAGTACTCCAGGTGGTTCCCTCTGAAACAAGAAATGCACACAGCGTTATGTATCAAGTGTATGCAGAAAAGTAGTAGAGCTGCACAGCTCGTCACAACAAAATGTTGTTGGTGAAATAGTATTAGTGATTTACAATACTGTTGGTGCAGTAGACAATGTGCAAATACAAAGTGACATCACTCTTAGAATTCAAACTCATTTCAAACAGAATTTCTAAATAATGTGTTATTTTCAGCCTGTAATGTTTTTTTCAATTTGCCAAGTGATTCACATGATTCTCGTCTGACACTTTTACAAGTTCAACTTCCTCTTCAACCTGCGAGAAGTGAGACGTGTTTTGACAGAAGAAAAGGCCCCTATAAATACATGATGTCTGAATGAGGCTTCCGGTAAACCTCAAGATGTCAGTTTAGCAGGGCGTGTTCCCGCTTAGGTAGCGAGCGCACTGCTGCAGCTGTGAACCTCTGCACACCTACACCCGTTGACTGGGTGTGAAATAGAGACTGATGCTTTCGTTTTAATGAGAGCTGTCCTCAATTCAAGCCCATGTTGATATGTTTTTTTTTATGTAATTGGCAATAACAGATTTTTAAATGGCTTTCAACTGAGCAGAAAAAGCTCAGCAAAAACATGATGTTTGTGTCTTTATAATGATGGGATGTTTGAATAAAGTCTGGGTAAAAAAACCTCCCTGAGTGTCCCACGCTAAGCAATGTTCCCTGAGTAGAGAATCTACGCCAACAAACATAAGATGCTCCACAGATTTCCTTTTTCTTTTTACTCCATGCTCTGAAATGCAGTTGAAATTGCAAGTTGGCTGAAAAGTGAAGAGGAACCGTGAATAACTTTGTGGCCGACAGATCTACGTCAGTCAGGCGCCGCTAGTAGAAATGAAAGCGCTGCATCGTGGTGTAGGAGCGTGCTCACCAGAGGCGTAGGAGCCGCTCCATCCTTGGCCCAGGCCCAGAGAGTTGCCGCCCCAGGTGGAGGAGGGTTTGCTGTTGGTGAGGCCTGGTGGGGGCCGTGAAGGGGCCGCGTTGCTGCGTGGCCCCTGAGGGACTTTCCACAGCTCGTGGGACAAAGAGGCTTGGCCCTGGGAGATGGGCCCCTGTGGCCAGGTGGACTTCATCTCAGACAGCTTGCCTTTACACAGAGAGACAGGGAGGAAAATCCGTCACGGACCACGATGGGGCGTCACAGTTGGTTAAAAGGCTCCCCACATTTATATTTATATTGTCAATGGACTGGTTAGGCTAATGCTAATGCTAGCGTTCGCTTCAGTGGCTTTTCCTAATGTCATTCAATTTAAGAAATATTTTACACCAATGCATGCAAAAAAAGGTAAACGTTAGTGCACTGCGTCCACCTGGAATCCATCTGCTGTAAAATGTGCCAGACACAAAAAAAACACCCAAGTGAGAGTGGACGCTATGTGCGACCTGTATATGGTCGAGTTTATTTTTCAATTTCAAAACCGCTTTTTCTTGACTTCAGTGAAATATCTGACTTCCTTCTAAAATGGAATAGTGTCTGACCACAGTCATCTTGAACAAAAACCCACACACAACACAGGGTGGGGGTCGATGGCATGCACGGCTGGGTGAGCCTTGTCTTTTTTTTTGTGGGTTGAGTCAAAAAGGCGCAGAAGCTAGAAGGTGGTGACATGTGGGTAAGGTTGCTGTCATAGTATCGGTACATCTTTTGTCTAAAGGGGTGCCGGTTTAGGTGTGACTTAAAGAGGTTGTTATGAACACGGGTCAGGGGTCGGGGGTCGGGGCAAGGTTTAACACAATTAAGTATGGCTCCAATTTGGATGGGAAGAGGTTTGGCAGGTCCACACACTGAGGAAAGATGCTCCGGATGTGTACCTGAGCCGTCTCCATCAGAGGACAAGAGAGACTGAAAAGAGCTAGAGTGGCCACTGACTGGCCAGTCGCTGCTGGCGGGAGGCAGAGGGTCATTCTGAAGTGGCGGCGCTGGGGAAGTGGCTATGTTGTCGCATAGGTGACAGAGACGGTGAGAAAAACAAGACATTAAAAAAGACGTCACGTATCCGTCCGTACAGAGCAGATGACGGGAGGGAGAGTAACGCGGCTCAGCACCTCTAAAGTGAGCTGACATTCACACATTAATTTGTCAACGGTTCCCGGTCGTCTGAAATGATTCCTGTTCGTACCTCCGTTCCTGTCGCGCAGCAAGTATCGGTTGACGTCGTGGATGTTGGTGTTGATGGTGGGGCCGTTGGGGACGCTGCCTGGAGTCATGTTGGGGTCATTCTCGGGGTCGATGTTCTGGAGGCCCTTCCATGGCACACCCGGGCAGAACTCTAATGGAGCAAAAAGAAGTGCTCCATTAAGGATTCTGCCATCTCACGACTTCCCCAGTCTGAGCCCCACACGCGGGCCTCTGAGCCGCTGCTCTCCTCGGGCTTATCTCACGTGGAGGAAACAGGTGCGCGACACAGAAATTCATTAGTCAGTTCCTATTTTTTTAAATTGTAGTTGCGGCTTTAGCATCGTCTTTTGAACTAAACTTAACCTTATATGTAGGTTGCCTACCAAAATATTAACCTTTTTGTAAATTAGGTGATACGGTTGCCCAGCTGCTGCAGTTCTTACTCAGGACCATGAACTAAATTGACCTACGTCTGTTTTCACAGAGAACATATTGACATGTCACAATAGGAAAAGTACAACTCATAATGATCGAGTTCATAATCTGCTTCATCTTCAGGGTCTTGTGCCTGCTGGCTCACGGTCACACTCGACTCATGACTCACTATCAGTAACACCTCTGATGCCAGCGTCACTACTGAAAATGTTCATAAGGCACTCGAGCCGCTACCTATGTGGATCTGGTCCTCACCTGGGGGCCAGTTAATGTTGGTCCCATTGGAGATCTTTTCATTGGGGCTCTTGCCTTGGCCCCAGCTTTCTTGGGACACCATGGGGCTGGTGGGGGACTCCGAGCTGGATATTAGATTGTATGGGCTGTAGGAGTCGTCCAGATGGGTGGGCTTCCCAGGGGGGCCCAGGGAAGAGGCAGCAGATATGGCACCTAGAATACGCAAAGACGAGGAACAGAATGAAATGAAAGCTGTACAACATAATGAGGAATAAATATAACAAGATACACTGTAATCTTCATATAATTAGCTTCAACATCAGTGCTATACATTTGCATCAAAGGTCTTTTCTGAATAACATTTTGCTGGTTGTCATGCGTGTGGTGATGCTCTGGATGTCTGTGTCATCGACACAGAATACACGTCAGGCAAACACGGATGTCAATTTAAAACGGATCTGTTCTCAGCGTAGGTCTGAAGATGAGAGAATGTGTGAAAAAACATTTTCCGAAAGCGATGATATCTCAAAAGTGTAAGAGTCAACAAGAGAGGCAGTTGGTGTTAACTGGTTTCTCTAGCTGGAGCACACAACAAGCAGAATGTGGTGTGGCCATCGGTTAACATCACGCCTGAATGAATGAATGTACTTTGCCACCATAACGCCCCAAAGAGTTGTTCATATTATATTATGTTCAAGGACTTAATATTTCCAAGTTACCAGCTCTGACACCATTGGGTGTCAGGGCTCCGAATCAGGGGAGCACCGTAGTTACTGAGAGCCAAAGAGCTTGAGCCTCTTTTGTCTTAGCGAGAAGGAGCTTGCAGCCAGAATGTGTGAAAACAACAATGCAGGTGGGAAAAAGATTGTGATCGCCAATTTTTTACACTACTTGTGAAAGTTACGGTCATTATCGAGTTACCCAAACTTTTCCATCAAGCTTGTATTCAAAAGAAGTCTTTAATAAGCTATGAACCATTAAACACTTTCATCAATAAGATAACGATTGGATCTACTGAAAGAAATTACTTTTCTCTTGTGGTTCAAATCAATGTGAAGGGAAAGCAGCCTAGTGGTACTTTACAACACCACACATGTGCAAGGGGGGTGGGGGGGGGGGATCCAGAATAACGTTCAGCTCTTCCACATACCGTGCTTATTGTGGTTGTTCTCCATGTTTGAGGAGTTGCCAGAGAGGCCGTCCATGGAGTTAGAGTGCGTCCACTGGGACAGGCGGGATTGGGGCTGGGGGGGCTCCTTCAGGGACAAACCCCCAACCTCCATGCAGTTTACATTCATGTTTGTATTTAGTCCAGCTAAACATGGAGAAAAAGGGATATTAGAGACGTATCCATGTTATATCAGTGAGTGGTAAGACATTCATGCTGACTACAGTAGCTCGAAACAAAAATGGAAAATACACAATTATTGTTGCCAGATTTCTCAAATAAATGCATTCACTGAATCAATTGTGGGGGGGCCACCCAGTACAGTACGAGGTCACTATGTATGCATCGTGCAGAGGAACACCTACTATTCCCATCAGGCCAGCTACATTGATGGAGCTTCAAATGATTCGAACAAAAAACAAATGTGCCAAAATCCCCTTTACAGCGTGCCCACGCCAGACTCACAGAGGGATTAATATCTGTAGGCTTTGGGCGAAGACCGCGGCTCTTTGGTGTGCAGTGTGTCGGCGAGGCCCGGGGTGTGGTGGGGGCCCCCGTAGGAGTCGTGGCTTGATTTGCCGGAGCCGTGGCCTCCGGAGGGGGCACCGGGGGCGTGCAGACCAGCGGCGGAGGAGGAGGAGGAGTGAGAGGGAAGTTGCTGCTGCTTTATCAGCAGCGCTTGGTACAGCTGACGCTGGTGCTGCTGGATCTGCTGCTGCATGTTGGTGATTGTACGTGCAACCTGGGAGACGGAAGACGGGAGAAGAGGTTTCACAAAAGACGTTTTGAGCAGTGAAGGACGGGATGACAAGGGGATTCAAAATGAAATAGAGGAGAAGGAAAGACAATCAATGCGTTTTGGAAAGCGGAGTAGACAGGGGGAAGGAAGCACAAAAGCACCTCTTCTTTCAACAGGATGCTTTCTTGCAGAAACAATGGCAAAAAAAGGAGAACAAAAAGGAGAAAGCCTTTCTGCAGCATGTTAAACGGGAAGTAACCTGTTCTCATGTATCACAATTTGCATAAATACTGTTGCGGTGATACATGATGTTTTGTTTCCTCTGTTGATGTAAAGCCATCATGTGAGAATCATTATGTTTGTTTACAAAAACAAAAAAAAACTCACTTGCTGTTCTTGTTGTCTAATGGGGCCGGAAACATTGCGTTGCGCCTGCATCATCTGATGCTGGATTTGTAAACGCTGATACGCCTGAATGAAGGGAACAGCGAGCACAACACACGCATTAAAAAACACAATGACACAGCGAGAAAATACAAAATAGTAGGAAAGAGGGGTCTCTCGTCACTCTACTTTTCCACGTGTTGGCAAACATGGACAGATTCTAAATTTGTCACCCCATCCCATCTCAAATTTGTTTGTCTGGCGTCATCTCCTTAAACATAAATTTAGGTGACATCGGCCTCATTACAGATGGAACGAAGGACCTGGACTCACCATTTGCAGTTGCTGAAGTTGGTACAAGAGGGTCATTTGTTGAGGGTTTATTGGTGAGGTTAAAAGTGCAGGGTTCAGACCAATGTTTTTTGCAGCAAACTGCAAGAGCTGTGCTTGGACCTGAAGGTTGGTCGGTAGGAAAGAGAGGGAGCACAGGAAATATAGATGACACGTTAGTCATTGCAAATTACAAAATAACTAAACTACTCACTACTACCTGCACGCAATGCGGAACAGAGAGGAGCAACGTCTGCCAGAAGGGTCTTATAAAACTCTTCTTTTTTCGGACGTTGTCATATACATTATACATGTAAACATTATATACATACACCATACATAACGTTATTTTAATTAACATATTTTTAAATATTAAGGAATGTAGAAATGTAACAATATAAAAATGATTGTCAGAAGAAATATTGTGTTTTCACGTCTTTTGTGGTTATTAAATCTGAATATTTCTAACATTCATTCAATTGAATGAGAAGCTGTATCGAGACTTTGCAATAGTACTGTTGAGTACGTATCATCATCATCAAGGGCTACATAAGGCTGAAAGAACAACAGCCCCACCTGCAGTCCTCCCTCAGTTTAAGTAAACAGATCAGAGATGGGATATCAGTCCTTTTCATATTAAATACATACGCGGTTATGTGTGTGCATCTACCTGAGGGGAGAGAAACTGAGGCACTTGAGCACGTAGACTAGGCTGGGAGGAGCTGAGAGGTGGCACTGGTGGCTGAGGAGGCTGCTGCTGCAGCATCGCCCGGGTTTGTGCTGCTCCACTACTGCCAAACATTCCACTGGGTATCTATAAGCAGGAGTCATTAAGGTGGAATGAAACGTCTTCAAAAGCTCCCCGTTTATTCAAACCACTGGGGCCATTTCTTAGCTGGAGTGCTGAGCCGCAGAGTTGCGAGGAAATGTGTGCATGCTTGGCCACTCCGGCAAACAAGACCTTAAGAGGAGGTTTATGAATTTACATTAATTTACTGCACTTGAATTGGATGATTTTTTTAAAAGTCTGCTCAAAAGCTAACGCATGGGTTTATGATATCCTCAAGCCACATAGCAATGTCTAAAAACACGTTTTAAAGCATTTCCTCCAAGGTCTAACTTCACACTATACGCTGCTCACCAAAGCACACTGAACAGAGCACAAAACGGTAACTACTTTCTCTATCAGAAGGGCTTCATTCACATTTTGGATTCCGTGGTGATAAAAATCTCTTTCTATTCAGTGCTTTTGTTTGGGCTTCAAGGACGCACTGTAGTTTTTCTGGGGCATGACCGCCTCTGGGGGGGATATTTGATCGAGCATTTTCTGGGGGGGATATTTGATCGAGATTTTCAATGGGCACTTCAGGCAAGGTCATAGACAGATAAGACAGCAATAGAAGCAATAAAAAAGCTGAGCTTTGAGAGTGCATGTGGGTAGAAAGGTGTGTGTGAACAACTCATATTCATCCATTTCTGTCCCTGCATCATATACACCTAAATCCTGAACAAGCCATTGAATCTCAATACGACGTTCAGGTTTTTCAAAGACACAAATACTTTGCAATCTTGAAATTGTAGAACACAAATAACATGTATGAATGTTTCTGGTGGATAGTTGCTATCCATTTTGGAACCAAATGCATATACTGTTTTACATATCATCACAAATGTTGTGCCCTCCTGCAGTTCAGAGGTAGTTCTTACAGCATTGGGTAAGTTGCATGCTGTCGTTGTTACCTGTCTGTTGTTCAAGTTTTGCATGGCCAGCCCCGGGTTGCCCTGCCCCAGACCCTGCCCAGGAAGGCTACTGTTGGCCAGGGGGAGCTTCAGGCTGGGGGAAGGCAGAAACGGTGATGGGGGGGCATCATCTGACAGAACACCATCCTGGACCACATCAACACAAATGGTTAATGAGGGAATACAGGGATAAGGAAAAAAACAATAATCATAACATGAGAAACATAAACGATCAAGTGAGAGAATGTTATATTAAAGTTGGTACTGATAACAGAAAATGATCAGATCTTTGGAGTTACAACCCTTCGGCTTACTAAACTAATCATTTTCAACAGATATTTTAGTGCCTTATTGCAGTTCATATCTGACCTTGTCAAGAAAGGAAGTGCGGTCGCAGGGGTCTTTGGAGAGTGCAGAGGGCCGACACACCATAGGCTTGTTCATGCCGTTGCTGTAGTCAGACATGCCCATGCCCCGCTTGTCCAGGTCCGTCTTCTTCTCCAACAGGGCGCCTGGGAGAAGGAAAGAGGAGAGTGGACTTAAGTCGAGCAAATATACAGTGTCACCAAACAAAATTGAAAAAAAAGTCATTCTCCCATATGATTGATACGGATGTTTTTCAATTGTGATCTTAACTTACTCATGGCCTGGTCAAGGTTCATGTTGTTGCTCTTCAGAGCCTCCTCAGCAGGGTCTCTCTGTAACGCAGGTGAAACATAGGCATGGTTGGAATGACTTTTCTCTTTTTAACAGTATCCAGGAGTTCAGAGGGCTGTGTTTATCATTGGATGGTATATTCCCCTCCTGGTTTGATTATCTATGCTATATGGGGTTTCTGCACTCGTAATTAGGAGATCCAAAAGGTTGCATAGTTTTCGCTGAGTTGGGAAGGGGAGGGGGAAACAAAACTTCGGAACTTTACCGGAAAGCCCATGTCAGTGAGCTGTTTGATGAGCCGGTTCATGATCCAAGTTTCATCTGGCTTGCCCATCTTGCCCTGACAACACACAAGCACATTCATCATCATCATTATTTTAATTATTTAAAGACATTGACTCCTGCCATCAACATCTGTGGGCCTATTCCAGGTGTTTTCTCACCTTGCTCGGGCCCTTCTTGGGTCCATTGCCCCAGGAGTTGCAAGAAGAGCTGCTCTCCTGGGACGTGGGGCTGTTCCACATGTCCCCGTCCTCAGCGTCCCATTGGCCTGTATTCATGCTCATCTCCTCCCCTCCATTTCCCCAGCCGTCTTGCATAGGTTTGGGACCTGTGAAAGCGATGAAATGACTTATCGGTTATCCTTGACGTTTCCTACGGACATTGGGAATGGACAAGCTCAAAACAACAGAACCAAGAACCAAGACCTACTGAGGTGTGGAGCGGCTTTAATCCCAGCAACAATACAGTACTGACAAAAACCTTTCAAAGTTGCACCAATGATACAGGTCTGGAGACACACCGCATGTTTATGTTTCATTCAATCCGTATTTTACAGGGTGTGGCGCCTCTGGACACTACCCGAATCTCAAATGGCCTCCCAGTCAACATGGCAATGTGGTACACCGGCACATCTGTGTAACAGTGTGCTTTGGTAGTATGGCAGTGTGACTATTATCAAGAGCAGGTGGTACCGTATCTCTGCATCTCGGCCTACGCCTACTTCCTATAATGCATCACTATCAATGCAAATCCTGCGTGTGTGTTACCTGGCTTGCAGGCTGAAGAACCTGTGGGGCCGTTGGGTCTGCCATAGGGTCCAGAGGACTCGTGGCCCCCGTCGCCCCATCCTCCTACTCCCCCTGTGGACTTGCCCCAGGCAGAGGTGCCGTTGTCCACGGATGCTGTTGGAGCCGCCGTCTCTCCCCAAGTAGGCTCAGACTTAGGTGGAACATTGGGAAGTTCTCCCCAACCTGGAAAAAAAGAGGTGGATTAGAACAAAGCTATTTTCACAGGCAATACTCTTTTTTACTTTTAACAGAAAGCCATTTACAAGCTCAGTCTAGTCCGGGGGGGTGTATTTGTGTGTGTGTGCGTGTGTGTGTATATGGAGGCGTAGGAGGAGGAGGAGGAGGAGGAGAAAGCCGGTGGAAGCTCCTCCCCTCGGTGATTCGCTGTAACGGATCAGCATGTCTTACAGTGACCATGATGCTTTTTGGTAGCTGCACTGCAATTAGTGAACAGCAGGGGGCAATGGTTTCATTCACTATCAAAAGGATAGGAGAATGTTGGGTGTTGGAGCTGTGCCATTTCTATAAGCATGGCCTTTGTCTTCAGGTTTGAACGGACCCGAGTGTGCAGTGCAGTCTTAATTATGTATGCATAGCCATTAAGAGGCTTGAAATATCTCAGACAATATCTGCTCAGTAATCACTGAGAGAATTATTCCATGGACTAATCTTTAAATGGAATAACCATTGATGCTTTTAATTGGTAGTTTTACCACTTTGTGAGTCATTGAGTAAAAAAACAACTATTCAGATATCCTTCAGGCTCCTTAATACCCCAATACGAACGCCTAATAAGATTAAGTAAAATATATGCTTTCCTTTTTTTTTTTTTTAAAAAAGGAAAATCTTTTTGATAGATAAATATGCAATTTTTAAACATTCCTGAGACTTGCAATTGTTCTAAACATACACATCAGTTGTACATTGTTTTGAATATCAATCTTTACATTCATCTACTGGGTTACCTGGGTTGGCGAGCGGGGCTCTGCCCTGGGGGCCCCCACCTGGATGTGAGGAGCCATTGTTGGATGACCCATTGTTGTTTCCATGGTGTTGCAGGTGAGCTGGGGGCTGGCCATGATGAGGGGGGTGGTGGTGCATGTGGTGGGTGTGATGGTGACTGCTGTTGCCAGGGCCAACCGAGTGATTGGGGTTGTTATTGTTGGGCACTATCACTCCACCACTCTTACTGGGCGGTGGGCCGCTGTTGCCCGGGTTATTATTGGGATTGTTGCGATCCCACATGTTGACAGTCTTTTTGTTGGAGACGGGATCCCCCCAGGTGGACGTTCCATCGTCAATCTCCATCTTCCTACGGATAGAGGGAGGGGAGGGCTCTTCCCAGCCAGTGGGATCCATGCCTTGGTCCTGTTTGCTGCCATTTCCCCAGTTGGATGAGTTCTGCTTTACAGTTCCAGGACCACCCCATGAACCCATGCTTCCACCTCCTCCGCTGCCATTGCTGCTGCTGCTGCTGCTGCTTTCCTGAGGCTTGGCAGAACCCCAGCTCCCCTGCATCGTGCCATTGGCGCGTGGGTTCTCCCCCCAGCTGTTATTACTCACAGCAGGGGCGGGCTTACTCCAGCCTCCTCCTCTATTTCCTCCCCTGGGGCTTTCCTTCCAGCCTCCACTTCCTCCATTACCTCCTTCTCCTTCCCACATGCTGCTGGACGATCCGTTGTTCTTGACCTCCGTCTCTCCCCACTCCCCACTGCTCGGGCCGTTGGAGCCGCCATTGCTGTTGCCCCATCCATGGGAGCTTTTGGGGCCCTCTCCCCAGTTGGTCGGTTGACTTTTTGCGGGGCCATGGTCCCAACCGGACGATTTTTCCTCAGAACCCCAGGATGGTGTGCCTCCATTTCTGGGACCATTGGGAGGCACAGATTCACCCCAGCCACTGGTAGTGCCATTTGGTGCTTTGCTGTGCGACTGTGGGAGGTTCCCCCATCCTGATCCAGTTTGGGTAGGCTGAGGTGGAGGGGCTCTCCAGCCAGAGGAAGACGATCCTTCATTGGAGTCATTTTTTTCTCCAGACCCAGGCCTCTGACTGGGGCCAATTTTCGGGTTGATGGTACCTCCATTGATGGATGAGGGTCCAACATTAGAGCTGTGCCCTCCTGTGGAGGCTGAGCTGCCTTTGCTCTTTCCTTCAATTAAGTTGGCTTCTTCCATCTCCCATATAGTGTGCTGTCGGATCGGGGTCTGTCCCCAACCCGTGTTACTCAGCACCCGAGGGTCCAGGTCGTGTCGAGGGAGCACAGTGGTACAATCTGTGCTGGAGGACCTGTCTCTGTGGCCAGATTGACTTTCGTTGCTGTCGCCACTTGCGTCGCTCGCTGGGGCTGTTCTGGGCTGCTGACCCCATGAGCCGAGTTGTTGCTCTTGGCCTGAACCAGAGCTACCAGCATCCACTGACTCCCAGCCTTTAGGTGCATCTCCGCCGCCAGAGGACTTCCCCCAGTCACCCCAGCCACCACTTCCACTGCTTCCACCACCACTGCCTTGCCGGCCCCAAGCAGAATGGCCTCCAGAGGGAGCAGAGTCCCAGCCCGATTCCTTGGGAGAGTCAGCTGCCTTGGTTTCTCCACTACCCCATACAGAGCTGCCGGTTGTGTCCCCATTGAGCTGGGAGGATTCAGTGGGGGACTGGCCTCCCCAGCCAGTTATCCCGTGAATAGGGCTCATAGGCTCCTGAGCTTGTTGCTGCTGCTTAGTGTGGTTTGGTCCATCATTGTTAAGGTTAGAAGGTTCCATCTTGAAGGACAGGCTTGTGTTAGTTGAAGGGTGCTGTTGATCATTTTCATTAGCACTCATCATGCCAACCCAACCTCCCCCGTCATTTCCCCCCAGGCTCCCATTTCCCATGTTTCCATTGCAGTTAATACCTGGTGGGAGGGATGGGGAGTTTGACACCACATTGGGGCCAATACTACAACTTCCACCACCCTCGTGGCCCAGAACAGGCCAAGCTGATGGGTTGGCATTGGGATTGAGGTTCAAGTTAAAATTGGTAGAGCCCCAGTTATTGGGCCCCCCTACTCGACCACCATTCATACCATCTTGTTTCCCATCCGAGCCCCAGCCTCTACTACCGCATGTGTTGGCTGACCCAGGTCCCGTCATCATGTTATTGTTGGCTTTAAGAGAGGAGTAGTGGGCCTGCTGGCCTGCGGCACCTGTGGCCATACTCATGAAACTATTACCACTGGTAGTAGTGACAGCACTCGTGTCCGTGTAAGAGCTAGCTGAGCCTAAGGAGCATTCTGGTGCTGCGGGGTAGCAGGGCTGAGTACTGTGGCCTATGGCGGGCCAAACTTCTGTGTTACTTCGGTCAGAAATCACTTTGTCCCAGCTGTTGGTGCCGGACGAGCTGTCAACTGGCAAAGAGTCTCCCCAATGAGAGGTCTCATACTGGGCAAAGGAGCCACTCTGGAGGGACGTGTCTAAGGAGAAAGGGGAGAGAGAAAAATTGTTGAGTGAAACAGAGGAACACAACGCAGAATGCACTCAGTTTATTTAGTTTTGCACATGTTGCACATTGTCGTTTTGAAAAGATATTAAGTGTAAAAGAAATCTGGTTTATTTGAAAGTGATTGCATTTTTTTCATTATCTGAAAAAGCATACAAAGATGTTATTTAAATCAAAATTCATCATATACAATTTTGGTGGGCCGGGGCGGTTTATTTCTTCCTCCAAAGTGAGTCATAACAGAAAAAGTTTGACAGCCACTCAACTAATGGGAGTAGAGACAAAAGGATAGAGAAAATAAAAAGCCAGTTAAAAAAGGGGATGGGGAAAGACTAAGAAAAATGATGCAATACTCCCCTGCACCAATTTTATCTTCTTGGTTGGTTAATGCTAGCAATCAGACTCATCAGAGATGGTCACACTTATGTTACACAATCCAACAAATAATCAGAATTAACAGCCAAGCGTGCTACATGTCATATCAGTAATGGTATATCCATTTTTCTATCTCCTATTAACTCCATCCCTCTTGTCTATGCTCTTCCCTGCTGCCCCTGTTCGTTGTCTTCACCTTCCTCTTCCTCCCCCCTTTAATTCCTCCCTCTCTCCCACCCAACAGCGAGAGGCCCATCCGTCTCCATCGTGGCTTCACTGGGTGGGGTTGTGAAGGGAAGCCCATGTGGAACGCCGCTCATTTATTGGAACGAAACCAGGACGGCTTCTCATCCATCACTCCCTACGCTCCGCTGGGGCGACTCCTCCTCCTCCTCCTCCACCACCACTCTGGACTAAGCTACTGCAGAACACAACCTCCGAGCCCGTGTGAATACTGTATTTGTGTGCCTGTCTGCTGGCTTCTTCTAACTAAGGACTGCATCTAAATCTTCTCCTACTCACAAGATTCAAGCATGATTAACCAGTGTAATACCACACGACGGAGCATTTGCAACAAGTATCTCATACCAACATGGTATCGCACACAAAAGCATCTGATCAAAGTGTGTGTGTGTGTGTGGGGGGGGCAATAATAGGCCGATTCAATGCTGTAAAGGGGTAATCAATCATTGGGAGGCAGCAATCAATGATCTTATTAATGCTAGTGTGTGAGAGCAAGGAGGTTATTGACCCAGCATGCGAACATCCACTAGGCCGGCCTCACGAAAACCGACAAGAACTGCTGGGAATCTCAATAGTGCACGTGCATTAGGAAACAGACACAATGCAATCATGAGTACCGCGTATTGCTATCAGACGTTATATTCCTGATGACAATACATGCCTGATTCTTAAGAACACAACTGGCAATGAATGAAGCTCGATGGGTGAACCGTATCAAACGAAAGCAGTCATTTTCAGCAGGCATCAGAAGCCTACTAACAACACAATACATTTCTGGCTCCCCTCCTGAGCTGCTGCAGTAAGCGTGGCTCACTAACCGGTAATTAGGCAACCCAGGCTGCATTTATATAATATTTGCCTTGTTTGGTAATTAAGCCGTTTTATCTTACATTACTCTGCTATTAGTTTCCATCATATTGTTGCGGTGAATTCCATAATAGCTATACTTTCTCCAGCACGAGATAAGAACCCAGTGGCCCAAACAATCCAGTCAGATGAGGGAAGAGACCGATATGTTGCTTTAAGATACTGAGCAACAAGCTACAGAGCGGCTGTGAATGCAATTTTCGCCTGAACACACTTATCTCCACTGCCCAGACAGCCTTATCGCACAGGGTCGTCTCACACACACACACACACACACACACACACACACACACACACACACTTCTCTGCGAGCTGACAAAAAACTAGGCTTGAGGGTCAAGGCGAACGCCTAATTTCAAAGCCTATGTAATTCTTTCGCACAAACCATTCCGAGCAAACTTTCATTAAAAGTGGACAAGAGTATAGCCGGTGCCCAAAACACAGCAAGCTCGAAGTGAATTAATGAAGCATTTTGGAAGATCTTTTAAATGGACAAAGGATTTCACTCCAAAGGATGTAGAAAAAAAAAAAAAAACCTGGGCAACTGCATTCATTGAACAGATGTGTCAAACCCAATCCAGTGTTTCCATGTGTAGAGACATTCATGGCGCAAATGCACAATATTCAGTGTATATGTGTTTCATAGTTATGACTTGTGTATTTTATTTTGTAAAAGCAGAGAGAGAAATATGACAGCGGCGTGAAAAGGCCAGGGCTGTTACCCCTCTTTGGGTTTTTGTCCCAGCTCGGTCGATAATGTCTTTGCAGTCAAAGAGGAGTGACATTTGAATCACAGCCGGGGAGCTCAGAGCCTGCAGCCTCAGGAAAACGTTGTTCAGTCCACCCTCACCCGCTCCTCTTCCTCAGTCCGTCGTTCAAAAAATAGGTAACATGATAAATGAATCAAAGACAGGAAAGCAGCCGGATTTCTTTTAGCGCTCCTGTCGTGAACGAGCCACATTCCAAGCAGCAAAACTGACATAAAACAAAAAGCCAGGAAGAAGAAGAAGAAGCAGAAGCATTTTTGTTGCCATGTATTATTTTACACATACTGGAAATTGTTACCCACCGGCGCAGTATTTATCGCTGTCCTTTTGGTTCGGATTACACTTCATTAGATAAATATGTGGATAAACGCATGTGGACTCATTTATTCCGCTCAGCCTCACGTGCCCCGATGGTTCCCCTTTCGACTCCCTCCCCAGATATTCCAAAAGGGCTGCAGATTCTTGGCAGAGCCTCGATTTGTCCGCGGGCGGTCGGGAACGACAGGAAAAAGGGGACAATTATTTCCGTCGGCCACTTGCAACCATGTGTCAGTAACGTGTTGCCGCTTTCACTGCGGCTGCAATTAGGAGGGCAGACTCGTTACGCTTTGTGAATGACAAAAGGGCCCAAAATAAGAAAAAAAACTACGGGGCGCTCCACGGCTCCTCAAGCTGCCATCGTGGAGCACGGCTGCCTTTTGCTCGTTCTCTTTGGAGCTACGCGAAATAACGCAAAGAAGCCAGAGACGAGCTTCGGATAATCAAAGGAACGGGCCGGTAGCCAAGAATGAAATGTCTCCGTCTCCCCCTCCCCTTTGAATGGAAAGAGAGGCAGGGGCACATAAAGAGAGAGGGGGAGGTGGGGAGAGGTGCAGGGGAACTCGAGGGGCGGGGGGGGTGGGCACTTGCGGTGGTCGATGGACGAGAAAAGGGAGACGACGAGATCTCTGAGAAACGGCGTGGCGATAAACGGAATCCTCCGCTTGGCGGCGAGCCCAGAGACTCGGCTCGGCCTCCATCAGGCGCAGAACATGCGGTGACGTAAGACCGAGACGAGAGCGGGAGGGGACGTTTAGGAGCCTTTTGTCCCCAAATAGACCCTCTCCGTCTCCCCTTTGAGGGATGCTTTACGCCCCCCTCCCCAATCAAAGACGGCGTACTTGTTTTTCCGGAAGCAGAGAGGAAAAGAAAGACTGAGGAAATGGTCACAGGAGGGTTTAAAAAGCTCATTATTCACGTCTGTTTACCGCTGCCAAGAGAAGAGAGAAAGCAGGAGAGAGCGAGACCATGGTGACTTCTCTGGTTTCCCTGACAGAGCCTGGATTAATTAACCCACTAGAGGGTTCTATCACTTGTGTGTCTGTGTGTGTGTGTCACACATGGGGCAAATCTATACCCGGCTTCATTAGCGCCAAGTGCTCTTGTGATTATGATTTTAAAAACATACACGATCTGAGTGGGAGGTTCTTTTTACATCTTAATGGTACCATGCTTGAAGAGGCAGATCTACGCGCCCGTGAGAAGGTACTAGAACATTATATGTTTAACAGATCTTGGTTTTTTTTAATAGGAAAGCAAAACTGCGTCACATCCCTGCTAAACAAGATGTGTGTTCAGAAAAAACAAACGGCGCTAGCTGCAGATCAAAAGGGCCCAAATGAAAGGGCAGAGTGTTTCGGCGGCACCCAGCAGAGAGCCTGGCCGCGTGCTCCTTCTGCGGGTACAACAAACAGCTGTTGGGCCGCAGTTCCCACAGTCTTGAGAACCCCCCCCCCACCACTCCAGCACCTGCTACTGGGGAGCTTGTCTGGATGGCTGCTAGCTGCTACTACTTAATGGTCCCCAGTCAGCTGGAGAGACTGGGCTGGTGGGTGTGACGGAGGGAGGGGGGGGGGGGGGTGTCTGTCTGTCTGCTGTTTGGGACAATGACATGAGGTTTCGGAGAGCGGAGGTTACGTGGGAGTGGTGGGAAAGACACTCGCATTAGGTGTGAGCGGCGCGGGGCGGGGGTTAACCATACAGGCTTTGTGGATGGGGGCAGCAAGGATGATATAAAATCACACACACTGAAACTCAATACGGCCAAGGAAAGCAGTCACTACTGATCCACATGTGAGGAAAGCACCCAGAAAATGGGTCAAAGGAAGGAAGCGTATTTAACCACCTAAGGATATCTACTCATATTACTGCAGCGGCTTATAAACTAAACATGAGTGTGTGTGTGCGCTAGCGTGCGTGCTTCTGCATACCCTTTCAACTCAGCCAGCTGGCCTGCAAGGCAGACACAGATCAGAGAGGACACAACTAGGTTAGACTAGTGTGTTCTTTCTGCTGCAGCGCCACTACATCCACATACATGTGTTTGTGTGTTTGCACGGGCGAGTGAAAGTGTGCGAGGGAACATTCAACACATTCCTCTGGGCCACCGTAACCTCCCCAGAGAGGCCAGAGAAATGTCCCAGAGAGGTCAGAGAAATGTCTCCAGGACAGAGTTCGCCCCTCACTCTCAGTTACACTGAAAACTTTCCATCGGTACTCGCAGGCTTATCTAACGAAACATACAAGGAGGAGTTTTGCATTTCAGTTCCTTCCGATGCTACAAAGACGACCACCGCCTGCCTAAAGAAAAACCTGGTGTGGTTTTATTTGGTGTTATTTTTACAGGCTTTTTCACTGCTAAATTAGTCATGTTTTATGTAAATATAGCAGAGGAGGTGCAGAAGTGCAGAGTAGTAAGTTAAACTACAACTACAAAATGTGCATCAACGGGGCGACGGGCTGGAGGCTATTAGAGAAGCAGACGGGATCCAGCCGGCTGTGTGGGGAAGCCCTCAAGACAAAATAACCAGAGGCAAACAAGGTGGGAACCCAGCCAATGGCCACACCGCCACGGGCTGTGTTGTACCCAGAGGCCCCTGGGAAAGCAGGTCGCCCAGGGGAAGGCCGAACAGTAAGACAACTGCTGGAATGGGACAATAATAGGGATATCATAGGTCCATTCTCTCAGCTGGACTTGAAGCCCAAATGAGAGATACGTGTTCTTTTCAAATCTAAAAAGACATGCTTCTCTTGAGTGAGTGGAGCCCGCAGCTAGATTTAGGGCCTAGCCCACAGCCGGGGAACCCCTGCACCAGACTGCAGTTCAGAGAAGATATTTCATAACAGGAGGTGTCAAGGAGTAAGTTATTAATGTTTGCTAAAAGAAAGTCTTCATGAACTGAGCCACTGTAGACTATAGATAAGTCAGTCTGATGCCGTGATTGGCGGTCAGAGACAGAGCTCAGAAGGACCAGCGGCCTCTGTGACGCAGAGCGCATCGCTAAACAACGGGCAACGGCATGAACCGGAGCTGCTGCACATTTGTTCACGGAGCGACCCGTGTCGTCCCGGGAAGATTTTAGACAGTAATGAAAGGCAGCAGAGGAGCAGTGATTAAAAAAAAAGAAGATAGACTGAGAGAAGTGAAACTCAGGAGAGATGCAAGCAGACTCCTGCTAACCCGCACATAAAAACAACGCGATACAGAGATATCCTTCAATCCACGTCTTCAAAGTCACTGCGTCCTGCGCTAGACGGAGGACGCGAGGCGCACCATCGGGTCTGTGCACATCATTATGCAGATGGCTGCGATTGCTCTTCAAAAAAGGGAAAACCCTTTGGACGAATGCACCCAAAAAAGAAGAAATATTGATTAGAAAAACACCCTGTGAAAAGAAACACTGCGTGGTCCATGAAGTGTAATGGCCGTTAAATAAATAAACCATGGCTATCCTTTATCAATGCGTCACTGTGCATAGAAACGCACACAAGCAGCCACACAAGGGGCACCTTGAGGCAGGTTCAGTCTCAGTGATCTTAGCGGCCACCAGTGACTTCATTAAAATAGTACCGCTGGCTATGGAGCTCTGACAGTGTGTGTGTGTGTGTTGTCCTGTGAAGATCTATAACAATGTTCTTATGATATGAGCTAAAAACATCCAAACAAGATTTTTCCATAGCCTGGAAAGAATTTGGCATTACCATTAGAAGCACTTGTATCCAAAGCCAGACACAAATAACACTGTGGGAAACGAACATTCATCCATCAGATTTTGTTGAGAAGGCCGGAGGGGTGGAAAGAAGAGCAAAGCGACCAATTGAAAACAGCTCAGACACGAGTCTTACATTTTCATTTGGCTTTAAATCTGCCTGGTCGCATCATTTAAGGGTCGTATCTCAACATCATTTCACACTGTCGGGAAGTGAAGGTGCGGCGGTAAGCTGCAATTACAATCACCGTAATTTATCATGCTTACAGTAAATCTGTCCATGCGGCTCTGCACACCGCCGTGTCTGTGCCGAGCCAAAGTGAAAAGAAAAACTGAAATGAAGGTTAATGTGGCATACAAGTATTTCCTGCATGTTACTGCGGGATTTGTCTCAAACAATTATGGAAAAGTAAAGTGGGTGCAGCAAAGGTGGAAGCAGAGTGCCAGACTCTTAATGAGCTCACCGGGTGAAGTATTCAATAAACACGCACTGAAATGATAACAAAAATCCAACTGAAGTTTGGAGGGTGAAACAATTTGCACATGGCCACCACAAAACAAACAAAAACAAAGTGACAGAGTGCATCCAGGGCCAATATTTTCTTTTCAAACATCTTTCACTGTGTTAACACAAACCTGCGTGGAGTTTTACCGCAGCGGACACAGCAGAGTTTGGGGAAGTGCTGCTGGTACTCGTAGAAGAGGAGGAGGAGGAAGAAGAAGAAGAAGAACAGGAGAGGGTGAGCGCGCCGAGGGCTCCCGCGGGCAGTGGCTGGCCTCTCTTTAGTAGCTGCTTGTGCTCCTGCTGGCGGAAGCGCGGGGGCACCTCTCTGGGCGGGTAGCGAGCACTGGCAGAGGGCAACTGGCACTGCTGCAGAGGAGGAGTCTGGGTTGGGAGTTGGCTACTGCAGGAGGCGCGTTTGCCATTGCCAGAAGAAGAGGAGGAGGAGGAGGAGAGGGGCAGCGTAGGGCTGGCGGGGTGGAGGTGGTGGGGCGGGCCGGGACTGGGCTTAGTGGGAGCAGGCTCCGGCACTGGATGGATACAGCACACAGAGACAGAGAGAGACATGCAGGCAGCAAGGGGTTAATCGCTGGCTCATTATTACACCTTAATTAGAAGCAAAATGGTCTTTGACTTGTTAGTACTGACAAAAGAACGGAGTAGTTTGACTGTCCAGTTTAATCAATGCCATGGTATGTCATGTATTCATATTTAATAAAAAAAGGATATTGTAGTCATCATCATTTCAAGTCAACTCATTTAGATTAGATTAGATTTTTGATAAATAATCATCACCAAGTGAAATAAAGCAAATACAGCTTCAACATTGTGGTCAGCTTAGGAAATCCCTTTAGTGTAATTCAGCCTTTAAAACCAGGAGAAGACAACACAACATCTCGTCTCAAGTCACAGTACCATCATAATATCGGATATTGCCCAGTTATATTATGGTGACCCCGCTAGTTGAAGTATGTGCATTCTTGTGTACAGTACCCAGCAGATGCTGATAATTGATTATTTTAGCACGCACTGCACGTTGGGGTGGACTGTGCCGTTGAGTTACCTGCTCCGTGCAGCCTTTTGTCCAACATATGTTACCGGCCCGGACGCACTCATAGAAAAGGTCAAGCTTTTTTTCTGCTGGCTGAACACGGACAAACACGTAGAGACACTTCTTCTCCCCTTCATTAAGCACACAAACACACACACACACTTTTCCCTGCTGTTTTGGCTTGAACCGGACTCTTGACGTGACCGGCCGGCTGTCTAATTGAGCGTTAGCCCGGGAGCTGTCATTATTAGCGGGACCTTGCCGGCGAGCTTGGCCAAAGTGTCCCTTGGCAAGCGAAACACAGAGGACAGCTGAAGAGCAGGACGGCGTGGGTCTGTCTGCATGCACGCAGGAGGAGCGGGACCCGCGTCCAGCGGGCCACTACCGGACGGCTGGGGGGCCTACGAGCTGCCGCCGATCGCGGTTTCCTGCTCCGCGGGTAAATGACCATGTTGTTTTTCTACACTCCCGATAGATATAGCTGCTCTAGCACAGCAGCTGAGACTGCCCTCACCCAGGGGAGGGGGGGAGGGGTGGAGAGAGACAAATGGAGAGAGAGACGGAGACAAGGACGGCTCAGGTTGTTTGTGTGTGTGAGTGAGTGTGTGTGGAGGGGATGTTTTCTTCAAAGCATGAAATAGAGGTAAATCAAATATGGCCATGGAAATAGTTTGTTGATTCAGTGAATCTTCTACGTCCTGCTACATTGCAGCGCAGAAGGTATTCGTCAGCTCGTCCTCCGAGCGAAGCGCACACAAATCCAGACGCTTGCCGAACCGCTGACGCACAAAAGTGTTGAAGATAGAGACCGAACCTTCCAATATGCCACTAAACACCAGAATCTACGTTCCAAAATAAAAGCCCTTCGGCATCGAGAGACCTACAAATGAAGCAAAGTATTTGAAGGCAAACCTTGTTTTTCTATTGATGTATTGACACTCGCTGTCGCGTGGGCGCCTCCACTTATAAAACATGTATGAGAGAGCCCCCCCCCACCCCCTCCAGCAGTATCTGGGCTGGCTGTTGGCTCGGAACTACAGCTGATGACGCACATCTCTGATTAAATCCACCTCGGCCCGCCTGACGCAGCCTCAGCCAATCAGAGAGCAGCCCGGTGAATACACTCTGCCCCCTTTCCATCCGGGGGATGCTGCATCTCTCTCTCCCCCCCCGTATATCTCTCCACCCTGTGTTTGCCTCCTATTCCATTTCTTTCATCTCTTTTTTTCAACTCAGAAACATTTTGTGAGGAACCCTGAAATCCTTTGAAGAACTAGTAGAACTGGGTTCTGGGGCTTGAAGATGCAGGTCACACTGTTGGGTGCAGCTCGCTGCTCAAACAGAAGTCCTGACATCTGCAGAAGTCCAACTAAATGGAGAGTGGTGGTCTTACGCACATGAGCAGAAAATAAATCATTTCGCCGGTGGCCTGATTCAAAGAAAACACAAAAGGATCTTCCAGAGTTAGAGGAGGAAGATGAACGCAGAAACACACACGCGATTCTCTGAGCTCACCGGCAACCTCCACTCTGTGTAGTTGTTGTTGTAGTAACAAGGGTGTAGCCTCCGGTTGCAGATGACCACATCTAAATTTCCCCCACACAAGCAATAACATCCAACTCTAACATAGTCGTGATGCATATAAAACACCATTGACCTGTTTAAAAAGAATATTCTGTGTGAGCAAAAAAAAACCAAGAGACATCGTCCATTATCCAAGAGTTGTTGTTGTATTATCGGGAAATGTGTGCCAATCTATGCCGTCACCCGTATTTATCAAGTGGATCAGTGAGAATTAATGTTCTCCTGAGAAGGAAGCAGGCAAACGCACACACACCCCGAACAAACATAAACACATTAACTGAGACACCCTTCATAACTTTGAGGGGGAGAGATCCTTTTTTAATCCAGGAGGGAGGGGTAAGTGTTTTTGAAGGAGGTGGGAGGGGGGGGGGGGGGCAGAAAAAGACGACGAAGGGAACAAATTAGAGCAACGTGAGGAAAACCCCATGGATGAAAATTGCGTCTGTAAACGATTAAATGAGGAAAGCGAAGCGTCTGCTGCCGCTTCCACTGATGATGAAATCCACACGGCGAAAAGTTGCAAGCTCAGTGCATTTCAACTGGAAGACTAACAGGGACTTGTCCTCTTATTAAAGCCCTTCTTGTGGGTGGATTATACTTCTAGCACTATTAATTGACGGCTTAT